ATACGTAGGTAACGCGCCGAATAAGAAATTCCATTTACCGAAGACAAACATGTAGATGAGGTACCACCACAGATGAATTTATTGTGTCAGTTTGTCTAACAACCAGAATAAGAGATCATTTACGAATGCGACGTTTGGTCTCTTTAGAATTACCATTCCTACCCATATGATAATAGAATATTTATTTATTTATAACTTCTTATACTAGAAAGTATAAAGGCGGACTTAATGCCATAGGCATTCTCTAACAGTCTACCTTAGGGGAGTGCAGAGATGAAGCTTGGTAGGTGTAGTGTGAAGGTGATATTACTTAAACATATATTATGTAATATAGATGTAGTGAGAAATTATTTTCCTTCGGGAAAACTCGGATTTTTTTTTTTATGGCAATAGTTTTAACTTTAAGACAGTTTCAAACTCGGATCGTTATCGGAATACGATGGCACCCGAACTGTCAATGAATGATCGTATTAAATGAGTGACATTTTCATACCCATGGAACTTTATTGTTTAGTGTCAAATGTCAAAATGAATAATGTCATTGTACTGAAGCTATTTGAGAGAGCAGAATAAATACGAACTTTTCCGAAAAATTACGAAGGAAAATCTTTTCTCACTATATCTTATACCTTTAAACGACCAATTCTTGTATATTAATATACTTAGTCTGGCCATAAATACTGTACTACTGATAAATCGATCTAGCTACGATTTATTTTCAGAAAATGTTGTTTTATTCGTGTTTTCAATAATCAACTCTTCCCGACATCTATTGGCGATTAATAATACCTACTATTTTTCTTAATTTAGGGCAACTAGCCGCTTTAAAGACACAACAAGATGGCGTTATCAAAAAAAAAACGATCAAAGCTCGGTCATCATCTAGTCTTCTATAAACGTGATGGTTTGTTACGCAAGAATGTAAAAATGGCCTTACCTATTTGGATGAAATTTCGCACAAAGATGGCTTGTATCGTGAATTAACGCATAGGATACTTTTTGACATGGTAATTGAATCATCCTGGCAACGCCGAGCTAAGCATGACAGTGTGTTTGTAAATACATGGATTTTGGAATCGGATTTTCTGGAACAGCGAGTGAAATAGACATCAGTTTATCATACATTACGATGAGAATAAATAAATAGGGCAATATATGTAGCAATGTGTCGCGGTGCAACTAACATACGTCGAGTTACGCGGGCTACGAGCAGTTATTCTCCCGTGGGATCTGTACGTGAAGTCCAATAACGTACTACTATGTCATATAGAGTATACAACTTGAAGTAGGTACAGTGCTGCGTATGCTCCAGATGAGTGGTCGATTAGGTGGTATTCAATGGCCCTCTACCCGAAAAAAAAAAAAAAAAAAAAAAAGGTGGTATTCAATAGTTATTGATATAAAAAAACTATTTTTTACTGGTGGTAGGACGTCTTGTGAGTTCGCATAGGTAGGTATCACCGCGCTGCCTATTTCTGCCGTGAAGCGCTAATGCGTTTCGGTTTGAGGGATACGGTAGCCGTTGTACTGTACCTTAGAACTCATGTCTCAGGGTAGGGGGCGGCATTTACGTTGTAGATGTCTATGGGCTCCGGTAACCACTTTACACCAGGTGGGCCGTGTGCTCGTCTACCCATCTAAGTAATAAAAAAAGAAAAGAAACATCGCAACGTGAATAACGCCTTATGAGTTGAGATCTTGATGAAGTCTTTGTAAAATTGTATTGGATTGCGGGAGTAAGAGGTTACTGCTTATCGGTTGCAATAGACTGGAGGGTAGCACCGTGCCAGCGCCACATCTTTAACTAGAAGTGTCCATCTTTCTTGTCTAAACTGAATAAAAATACAACTGAAAGTCGATAATCAAATGTTGCATTTTTTAAAAGAAGAAACTCGTGGGTACCATTTGAAAAAAGTTTTGCTCAAAATAATCTCACACCATGAAGGTTCTATGTCAATTCGAAGTACCTATTACAATAAAACGGTAATTTCATACTTTAACTACTATTATTACTAACTATTAGTTATTGCGCTTTCTCTTTCTATTTTCATGTAACGCAAAATCAACTGACTCTAGGTTCCCTAGTTACACCGTATTCTGGGAGTCATCTGCTTTTAATTGTGATATCGAACGTGCAGCGCCAAATGCTTATATTAAAAGGCTTTTATTTAAACAAGGATGCGTTAATATCTTCATTCGTATCCAATGCGGTGGACCGACCAGATTAAAACTGCAGTGGAAGGTCCTCTAAATGAGTGCAGTAGAATGGCCTCGAGCAGGAAGAGATGGCGGGACATCGTGAGACGCATCAAGTCTGCGCCTGCCAACACTACATGACGATCACGACCACTCTGTCAAGAGTGACACGATTGAGAAGAAGAAGAAGCGTTAATACGAGTCTAATCACACGTTTTATTGTATTACTCACGAAGTTTTACACTGTGGTCGGTTGGAGCGGTTCCCATGGCAACCAGGTCACCAGCCCCGGGCAACAAGTCCCGCTATCGATTATGCATCACGCCAATTAAGATAAAAGAATCGTACAGTTTATGTTTACGTGTATTTTTAATTGGTTCATTACTTAAAAACATGATTTAATCATCGAATTGTCACTGGTGATGTTTGACTGGTATTCTCCAAACCGGTATTGAAGGTAGGTTAACATTTGAAAAGAATAGGGCTGTGCCGACGTATTCATTGGTCTCCTCAACAAGTATTAAATACGAGAATTCAGGAAAATAAATACCAGAATACAATTTACTTTCCTTTTGAGCAATAGAAAGTCGAGCACACAAAGGTCTTCTATACGGTCAACATGAATAATACGACCCCAATTAAAATACAAACTTCACAAATACGAACAAAATTCAAGGAAATCATTTAAACGGAAAATATCGGACTACGTTTGTTATTGAAACTGAGTTTTCATCGTAGGGTTACCAAACCTAAGCAAGATTTTTTTATTTTTTTTGTTGCTTTGATGGGTGGACGGGCTCACAGCCCACCTGGTGTTAAGTGGTTACTGGAGCCCATAGACATCTACAACGTAAATCCGCCACCCACCGTGGGATATAAGTTCTAAGGTCTCATTTATAGTGGTTACAACGGCTGCCCCGCCATTCAAACCGAAACGCATTACTGCTTCACCGCAGAAATAAGCAGGGTGGTGGTACCTACCCGTGCGAACTCAAAAGAGGTCCTACCACCAGTAAAAATAAAATAAAAAAATTAATGTAATTTTGAAAGAAATTAATCAAAATTGAGTTACAGTAATTTTAATATTAGCTGTCTCGAATTGTTTTCCCGGTTCTTCGGACTATGGCTTTTTTTGGAACCGATGATAGCGATAAAATGTTTTGACACTCAAAAAGTATATTTTGAGAACTCTTAAGTTGTTCTAAATCATTTGAATTCGTTGCTGAGCCTCAAGTGACTACCTCAAAACCTAAGCACATCTAAACTGATCCTTTTAATCCGGTGTCATTGTTGTATGGTCGACCCTTGTACTAACGCGAGCAGTAACCGAACCGCAGGTCACCGAACTTGTAGAAGAGTTCGACGTGAAACGTAGCCCTATTTTACCTAGATACCTAGCTACGTAGATCTACTCAGCGAGTCGCGATTCTGAGCCGCTGGTAGATGCACTCGTGAACCAGCTACCCTTGAGCTGTTAGGCCCCACTAATGCAGTAGCAAAATTTCCCCCCTGGGTGAGCCCTTGAATTCATTCTTCCAACCTAAGTAAGCGGTAAGGCCTTACCACTTTCAACTACCTAAGACCCCTAGGTGCGTGAAATCAATCAATACTTACTCGCCGAGAGCTAATAATCCTTGAACGAATAATTTTTTAATAAGACATTATGTATGTTACCGAAATGTATTATTAGTAATGCGAGCCCTTAACCCGTTCACAGCGAGCACATTATTTTAATAGCACATCCTAGAAATGTATTCATCTCTTTCCTACACTACATCAAATTTTGACTTAAGGTCTGTACGCGACAAGTGTCAGTTTTTTTTTAGTCGACTAATTGGTAGGTCGGGACTAGGTGTATTACGATCCAAACTTATAAAGAAAGGGCAACCCTATTGTATTAGTCAGTGCAATGTTTCTGCTTATGTTAATCGGGTTAATGTGTGTTTAAAAGCGGACAGCTTTCAAAAGCACTGGTTCAAATACACTCGTATATCTCCTACACATTTGCAAATGTAAGTCACTAAATTAATAATTAACGTCAGAGAAGTGGTGGCAGCCCTGTTCGTTTTCCGGGCTATACAACAACGAGCCCACTTAACGTTAGTTCCCAACTAATTAATATATACGATTTCAATTGTTGTTCGCTTTGTTTGTTCTGAACTTGAAAACTGAACGAGTAGTTGGCGAAACGAAAATCAATTAGCCTGAAAGTTTAGCTAAATTAATTTCGGTCTTTCGGGAATGTTTTTATTTGCTGTTAATGAGCACACCCCTGAGCGAGTGCCGGCAATTATATTAATAACCTTAGACTACCACCTCACGTCCCAAGGCGGTGGTTGTGCTGTGTTGTGAACTCACTTGCCCAGATAAAAAAAAAATATGTGTGCAATTCACACGTGGTAGAAGTGAAACCTTCAAGAATTAAAATACATTATCCTAAATGTCTAAGTATATGTAAAATTTTGGCATTATTAAACAATTGTAAATCACCTTTTATAGTATGAGGTAGCGATATTTTAACTTCACGTATAATCCTAAATTAAAATTCACTACAAGAGGTTTCATACACACGTTAGTATTAAAAAATCTCATAGATGGCGCTGTATTAAAAAAACTCTACATTGAGAACGTCTAATGTGCTCTATCTCATTCTCTCGCCGGCTGAATCCTATACATTTATGTGTTTTTGTCTCTATGGACTTATTTTTTCGTTTCATCAAGTTTGAAATCACAACGATTCTAAAGAAGCTTCACTTCAAAAAGTCAAAACCATTTAACAACAATGATGCAGGCCACTAGCTCACCCAGCTGCGATGCCCCATTGCTGCGACGCGGCTTCCGCTGCGTGGTCGAACAGCGTGAGTCCGACCAGCGCCACCGTGGGAGCTATCGTCAACGGGGTCACGAACCTCAACAGCGACCCGATCACACCGAAGTATCCTGCGGCACAAAACTCGCATGAGCCTCGTGACAGCGACTGGTACTGGTGGTAAGACCTCTTGTGAGTCCGCGCGGGTAGTTACCACCACCCCGCCTATTTCTGCCGTGAAGCAGTAATGCGTTTCGGTTTGAAGAATGGGGCAGCCGTTGTAACTATAACACCAGAAACTACGCTAATGCTACCTCTGACTAAGCACATAGTCCCGATCCAAGCCTCAACTAAGGCTGAACACTTAAGTAAAGCATACTACAACGTACCTAAAAACAATTGGAATAAAGCCGCAACTGCGATGGCGCCGGACAGTTCACACATCCTACTCGTCCACACCTGTCGCCGTTCTTCGGTACTCATGGCGACCAAGATCTCCTCCTCGGGACACTTCCAGGCCGGCAGGTTCAGTATCGCGAGCGTCGGCACCAGAAATGATATGGTGCCGCCTTGAACTATAGGCAGTCGACAGCCGAAGGTCGCCTGAAGCCAGGTTATTAAACCTGTACAAAAGTTGTAAGTCTTTGTATTTTTGACATTAGGATATATATTAACCTTATAATAATTGTATAGTAGTGAGAGGTGGATTATCCGTAAGGTAAACTAGGCACGTGCCTAGGGGCGTGTAGTTACAAGGAGCGCGCGAGCTCAGAATTTATAAATAAATGAATAAAATAACATATCAATGATTAAGAACTAAATGCTGATCTATAATCTAAATCTTCTGTCGTCCTTCTTGATTTCTTCACAGCTTTCATATTTCGTTCGCGCATTAGCGTAAGTACAAGGGTCCTGGTCTACTAAAGTCTAGGATTTGATGATACAGCGTCATCGTAATTGCAAAAACAACTAGTTAAAATTTATAGTATTATGATGGCCATTTATGGCCGGTACAGGGGCGCCGATAAAGTGATCGCCTAGGGCGCTCCCGACCTTTGATCCACCACTGATAGTATATATATAGTAGTATTGTATAGTAATGTAATGTGTTATAATGTAATTATTTAAAGCAACGGCGAACTGGGTCGTACTGTGAGGCACATAATTGACGCAGGATGGATGAAATTGCGGCAGGTCACGGGCACCACGTGTGGCTCACACATTTCTCTTCCCCTAAAAGGGAAGATATATAAGACCTTAATAAGACCTGCCGTCTTGTATGGATCAGCTTGTTGGACGACTAAAATGGCGGATGAAAGGCGATTGTATGCAGCAGAGACGCGAATGTTGCGATGGATGTGTGGAGTAACGAGAATGGATAGAATACGGAATGAATATGTTAGAGGAAGTCTGAAAGTGGCACCTGTGACAGAGAAGCTGAGAAGTGCGCGTTTGGGATGGTATGGACATGTCATTGTGATGAGATGAAACGAAAATGAAGCTGGTAAGAAAGTGTTAACTATGACTGTGGAAGGATATTGAGGAAGAGGTAGACCTAAGAAGAAATGGATGGATTGCGTTAAAACGATATGTGTAAGAGGGAGTGAACGCAGAAATTGTATATGACAGAGGAGTATGGAAGGAGAAAACATGTTGCGCAGACCCATGTGACTGGGAGAAGGGCAGAAGAATGATGATAATAATTGTAAGCACCGATAGATATGTTATTAAAAATATCTGGCTAGATTTTAACCTGCTATATTGTGTATGATAAAAACATTTACATTAAAACGTTTAGATTATTCTCATTGCCTTTTTAGATAGACGAGGACACGATGCACCATCCATCTAAAAGTGAAAATGTTCTATTTGTACGAATTTCAACTGTTATTCAAAAGTTCATGATGATATTCTGATTACCTACCGAAAGGAATGTTTCCATTGCGTGCGCTAAAATCTCAAAGCCGACTATGTATTATATCGAGACACAGTCCTTGTAATACTAATAGTAGTTATCGTTAGTATGTTTCTGATACTTATTACTTGAAGACAAACATAAAAATGAACAAAAAAAATTAGTATGTTTATTTATATTCATTTAACTATAAATAGTACAGTAATTTCATTCTATTAGCCATCTGGGGATGTAACTCAGTGGTAGAGTGTCTGCTTCGCATGCTGAAAGTCCTGGGTTCAAATCCCAGCATCTCCAAAAGTTCTTTTTTCATTTTTCTTTCACGTTTTCTAATTTTCTATACCTAATATCCGTTTAAGTTTTATCACCTGTGTATGTATTTATTTATATTTTAACTTTTTAATAGAATATGTAGGTATTAACTCCTATTATTTTAGTACATTCATGTTTTTTTTTTTAATAATTCCTACTATACATACATACATAGGTACTTGCATTCAAAAAATACTTTGATTTGTAGTCAAATCACAATCCTTTGTCTTAATCCGGACCTAACTGTTAATGTCACTATGACTCACACTGGTGATTTACCTCATATTAAACTCAAGTAATTTGTAATTTAATTTAAAAACAGTTTAATAACTAACCTACCTAATATAAATATGTTCTGTTAAATTATACACAACAATGACACAAAAATTGTTCTCGAATTTCTTACAAGCACAAGAAATAAAAAATCTTACACACACGAAAAACTTTACTAATTAATTGCTCTGAGAAGCGGATCAGGCGCAACAAGATAAGTTTTGTTTCTTACTGGATTTGGGTTCGAAATAATATCCGGTACACCTTGGTGTTAATCAAACTATGCAATTATTTTGCAACTCGTATTTAAGTGAATTAATAATGTTAAATACAACATTTACAGTTGAAATATTCGAAGTACATATTTTATAATTTTACATGTTTCATGTTTTGGCGGGTTTTTGTGTCGACCACAGACTATACCACTTTATTGTAATTAGCACTACACTTGCTATAGGTAAATAAGTTCATTATTTTACCAATTGCGTAAAGCTTACTACATTAAATACTGGGTGAGTTTCGCGATTTTACTCTCCTTAATTTTAACTTATGAAACACAAATTATAATTATGGAAATAAAAGTTTGTTTGATCATATGAAAAATCATGGCAATAAATAATTTCGATTCGTTGCATGATTAATATTTTTTTCCCACATTCCGCCTTTTCTTCATAAAACCTAATTACAGATAAACATAAGTTATTAGTTAAATTATTGGTGTAAGTGTTTGTTGCATAGTTAATAGCTTTCATTCAAATTACCTACCTGTGACAAATATCATAGTAGATATAATATTGGATCGGTCTGGATCTGTTTCCTCCATGCAGAGAGCCGGGCAGAGGATGAACGGGATCGCGACAATGGCCCCAATCATCGTCAGGTAATGCTGCATCAAAAGTTAGTAAGTCGACATCCAGCAATTTGACCGAAAGCATATGTGTGCGTAAGATATACAATAACACTTGAATTTACATATTTTAACATCTGTATTGCCCTTTACGGTTGAACTTTGATATTGTTGGATCGTGCAAGTCGAACAAGGTCAATAGACTCAAACGTTGTCATGGCAACGCATCCTATATCATTCCAAGGTTATTTCACATCGCTTCTCCTATTCATTGTTACGAGATAGGATGTTAAACCTATGTATGCAGATTTAACGTTTTTATTGCATTTTTAGGCAGATGTACATACGGCCCACCTGATCGTGAGTGGTTACTATACTAATGAAAGATCCGGCGAGAAATTCAGGGGCCTAATGCTATGATGCTTGCTATATGCTCTAAAATGCTCACGCTAAGCTTAGCGTGAGCATTTTCGAACAGGTCGATGAGTCCGGTGGACTTGTGCTTTGGTTAGTGCTAGCGTCCTACAGCGCAGAGTGGTAAAAAGAGTCAGAAGGATTCGGATGAATTATGTTGTCCGGAACTAACTTATAGTAGGTACATCTATCTATCTATGTATCTATCTATCTAAATTAAATAACAATAACAATAATGTTTTTCCTTTGATGTGTCCCCCGTCGGACGGATTCCTTTTGTTTGTTTTAAGTTTATTTTACACAAAAGTTTAGGTCTTTTATTTATCGATTGAGGCACTACGAAGTGTGCCGGGTCAGCTAGTACCTACTAATATATAAATCTACAGTGGTTTTTACGGATGTTCCGTTATAACTACTGAACCGTGCATCCGATTGACTTGAAACTTGGTATACATGTAGAAAATACATGTACTTAATGGATAAGCTAATATTTATATGAGTGTTGGACTCCCTACACCAGTTGCGGGGGCGTTAATGATGAGAATCTTTGTGGGGGTGAGAAATAATAATGTAAATTTTAAATGCCCAGCAAAGCGGACGGGTACAGCTAGTAAATATATAAACTTGTCTTGTAAATGTTGTTAGCGCGATGTTGGTGAGGTTTTTACTGGATTTCTTCCATTCTAAGATAGGACTATCAATAGTAATCATTTCTGCTACTAATATTTTTCTTTCTCTATTTGTCATTCGATATTTTAGTAGTTATTCAACTTTAGTGTTATCAATAAATAAAAAATTCTCTAAGTAAAAGTTCCAACCACAAAAATAGATGAAACCATGTACATGTCGTATATCGCTATGGTCGTATTTCGACCACTGATCGAACTATTTGAGTTGTTTTTTTTTTATTTATTTTTAAGTTGTCTATTTGATTGTCAGCTAATTATTGTGCATACCTGTAAAGCCATGAATATACAGAGGTACCAGGGCGGCGTGTCGTCGATCCCATACGTGACATTGCCTTTGCGTGCCTCCTCTGGTTTCTGTTCACCTCGTACATCATTGACGCACTGTTGATGACATGAAAAATAAATTTTTAATGGTATAATGTTCATAACATTTATTATTTTGATCCTATAGCTGTTACATTAGACGCTTATAGCTCTAACACTAGGAGCAGGCTTTGGGACCCCGGTTCTCGCCGAACTCGGCAAAGAGTCCGATGTGCAACCTAACCTAAACATCAACCCACTGAGTTTCTCGCCAGATCTTCTCAGCGAGTTGCGATTCCGATCCGGTAGTAGATTCGTTGGCGAAACAGCTGCTTTTGACTTGTTAGGTCTCCTTGGAGGCGCTCGGGTAGCTGTTAGCAAATCCCGCCGCTTCTGGCTGAGCCTTTGCTCGTCCATATGTGGAAAGGCCCCGAGCCACCACCAATTCAAAGACTTTTGGAATTAAAGTAACACATTATAAATTGAATTAAAAAAGGCGGGCTACTATAATAAAAGCTAACCGCATCTAATCCATACGAAGAGCAGCACAAATGCTGCCGTATAAGCAGAAGTTTTTTTTGTTCGTTGTTTTATACCTCACATATATACGGCTCTCAAATCAAGAATACAGTAAATGGAAAGTGAGTACCACTTGATTGCATCGAGCTGCGTCGTCGTCCGCTGTTCAGCTTTTAGTAGGCCACAGGATGAACATGTTAGGTCTTGTGAAGACTACACGTACTTTTATGAATGTTCGTTCGACCGTCTATGAGTCTTGTAACTGCTTGTAACCACCGAAAAACTAACAGTATGACCGCAATCCGACACAATACAAGCGCCGGGATTGTTACGATGCTTATGGACGCAAAATGTCTTACACCTGTCACATCCACAAGATTTTTAGGAACCAGAGAATGCTCTGAGAAGACCCGCTTGTTGTTGAGTTTAGCTTCGCCCAGTTTCTCCCATACATCCATCACCACGACAAGGTATAACCTAAATCATTGCACCGAACCATTCGTGAATATTTTTTTTCTATGTTTAGAATAATATTGTATAGTTATTAAGGGGGAGTACTGTGCCTACAGCACGTCAGTATTGTCTATATTATTCTAATAAAAGGACGTGTCCACAGAACACTATCACTTGTTTATTAAACAATACTCGCTCACCATATTTGGACGGCTACATAAACATAAATAAATTATACAGCACAATTTTCATTAATAAAAATTTCATTCGTTGTTTTAAATTTAAAAAAAAAAAAAGTTTTTAATTTCAAATAATTCGATCTGTAGAAAACGAAACTTTTTACAAAGAAGATAATAAACAGGGAAAATGTTAGAGTTTAAATTTGTTTACAAAAAACGACAAGGCACTCCGCTCACCTCCGAACTAACCAAATCATATTGACAGTCAATTTTACTCATTATTATTATGCAAATACATATGCGTGTATTCTTATCCTTTCAATTTGAATATAACAATAGTATCACATATGTTTGAAATCAGCTTCAATGTCAAACTCTGTGGCAATTTTATGATATTGCGACAATCGCATTTCAGGTTATCCACAAATCTGAAACCTACATTTTTCTGTGGGCAATGCTTGAAGCACAGGGTAAGATAAAAGTGAAGACAAGATATTGTATACGTATAAACATACTAACATTTAATTAGACAATAAAATTACCGAAATAAAAACCATACTATTAAACACCGTGATTACAAAGTTTATAAATAACAAAAAACAGTCGTCGCCATTAATAATTCTGCGTAAAACGGAACATAAAATTCTTGTCTCAATCAAAAAAGTTTAGTTGAGGATCGATGACTCATACACATCGATGTTACTGTGCTCTTGTAGCATTTAATATTGTATTCATATGTTAACTGGAATTAGAGGGCATGCCTTTTTACATTTACATACTTATTTCTGCAGAAGGCGATTGATATTTACCTTTTTTTATATACAGAATTCCTTTTATCTCATCACTAACCGTGAACATAGAAAACTAGGTGTCTAAAATTAGGTGCCTCTATTAAAAAAAATTCGCTTATACAGATATCATTTTGTATATGCTGAGGTTAGCTTAAAGGAATATTTCAATTTGCTTAATAAGCTTAATTTGAATTCCTAAAAACAAACAAATCACACTCATAATGTGAAGTGTGTTTACAATTACTCACGGTAAGTAGCCGATGAGCTATTTACGGGATTGATTTTAGAATTTTATGACCCTACTTTACATTGTTAACTCAAAACCTTCCTTCTTAAGAACCCACATTCAGTCACCCGTAATTACTCATGGTGGCTTCTTTTAGCCCTCACGGGGTAGGGGTAGGTAGCATCGTCCTGCATATCTCGGCCGTGAAGCTGTAATGCGTTTCGGTGTGAGGATGAGGCAGCCGTTGGGCAGTAAAAACTGAGACTCAAGACTCATGTCTGAAGATGGGCGGCAGCATTTACGTTGATGTCTATTGGCTCCGGTAACCACTTAACTAATCTAAGCAATAAATAAATAAAAAACATTAAATAGCATATGCAAATTCACAAAAGATACCAGGAACTCATAACATGACAGGAAGTACATATAAGCGAGATCGCTTTGAGTACACACACTTGTTTCCAACCCCGCCCATCGTAATGCGTCAACTAGATCGCTATCAACCTTTTGGACTTTGCTTACTACTGATTGCCACAAGTTATGGACTAGAGCAGAAACTTTGGTTGGTTTGAAAACAACAAAACTAAAACAATGTCTATGGGCTCCAGCAACCACTTAACACTAGGTGGGCCGTGAGCTCGTCCAACCGTCTAATCAATGAATAAAAAAAGTTAAAAATAAGTCAAAGTTAAATGTGTGTCTGATTCACATTTGCCTTGCAAAATAAGGCTTCTTGAATACATTAAAAATCTAAAATTAGTCAGGCATTACATGCGTGTAGTGTTTTAAATGTAAATTCTACTGGTAAAGGATTTCTACTAATAGTATTTATTATCTAAACTGTTTATTAATATTAACACTGTTTACCTACTTGTGGCAATTTGCTATGAGAATCTGAGAGGGGGTATGAGGATCTGGTGAAGGCTCTTTTCTGTCAGTAGTAGAAGGAGCTATCTGAGATTATCTAAGGTCAACTGTATAAAGGACGGAAGAGCTTTTTTTATGACTGAAGGAATACTGGAGGCAAGAAGGCCTTTCCAGTTTCACCAGGACAGGCGGGTGAGCAAACCCTCAGCCAAGAGGGAAGGGATTTGCTAATAGCCACCCGAGCGCCTCCAAAGGAGACCTAACAACTCAAGGGTAGCTACTTCGCGAATGAATCTACTACCGGATCGGAATCACGAACCGCCGAGAAGATCCGACCAGAAACTCAGCGAGCTGATGCTTAGGTTAGGTTGCACGTCGAACTCTTTGCCCAGTTCGACGATTTCTGTTGCCGAGGTCCCTAAACCTGCTCCTAGTATTAGGCTTGAAGGCGTCTAATGCAAGGGTTATTGGATCTGATGGATCCGCAAGGACGTGTCTAAGGCGTCGTCGATGACTGGCTCCTGCGTGATCAGGATTCGGGGAGTAGTCAGCGGTAACAACAATAAGGCGATTATCATGACGCATAGCCTTATCGGGCCAGCATCTTTTTTTTATGATTGAAAGATTACTGGTGGCCTGGAGGCCTTGCCAGTTTCACCAGGACAGGTGGGCGAGCAAAGGCTCAGCCAGGAGGGGTGGGATTTGCTAACAGCTGTCCGAGCGCCTCCAAAGGAGACCTAACAACTCAAGACCGGCATCTTCCGTAGAGCACACTTGTACTGCAACTCTGTTCTCTAGCGGCTGTAATAAGATTTTTTTATAAGCAGTCATTCCACTCACCACTCCCCTGACAGCGTCCAGTCCGATCTGGATCACGTTGTTGTGTACCATGGCATTGACCTGCAATGAACATTGAAATTCGAAAGCCACACTTGTACTAGGTATGTTCGTTAAAAGAATTTGTTAATTGTTGTAAAATGTTGTTCACTCTAATCGATCGGATCGGATTGTTTCACAGATAAATTTTGTTATTATAGCCCGTTCCTTGAAACACTAAGTCGAAGTATCCCTATTGTATATTATATAGCAGAAGTTCTGATTAACTCGAAATTTGGTATACTTATTAAGGACCGATGACAATTAACCATTTAAAAAAAAATTAAATAAAAATTTGAAAAATATTGAAATACAAATAGTGTAATTAAGGAAAAAAAAATGCGAGATCAAATCGTAATAGTCGATTTAATTATATGTACGGCACGCGAAAACCGAAGATATTTTATTTAATCTAAAATCCGGGATGTAGTCACAATTCTCAGTATCGGGCGTTCTACTTAAAGTATTATGAAAGCAATTTTGGATTTTATCCATAATAATTTCTATATACCTACTTTTTGCTACTGTGGGCGAAGCTTATTAAATTCTTATATTGGTTACTGTAAACATTATTGTGCTAGTGACATTAATTAAATTAAGTACATCATATTTATAGAGCAGTACGATGTAACATTAATCCAAATCATATTTGTATTTCCATTTCAACTTACTTCAAAAGATTCGAAAAATTTTAATTAGTCAGAACTATCAATAAATTAACAATCGTGAGCATTGCAAAAACCCATCTCTCTGTAACAACATTTCTGATGCCCATATGAAATTTTTCATTAAAAATTCCTTCCAACGACAATTAACTCGTAAACCTATGCTGTGAATACATTAAACTCACCCTACGACCATCAGAAGTCAGTCTTATGTGTGGTCTTATGTAACAGAGACCCAAAAACCAGACGCGTCACACCACTAAGCCAAGCGCTGTAATTGTTAACACCGCAATGTTAATCAGATGATAATATACAGCCAACGTCTTGTAGCAAATGCGGACGAGTAACAACTGATAACAGATTCGAAATGACAAATCCACGAATGCTTACTTAAAGAATACCTGCCGATCTGGCTGTGGGTTTTAACGAAATAAACTTGGATTTTATGTAACGTACGTAGCTTTTGTACCACATATGTCTGTGTTTCATTACTCACGCATGTTTTCACGAGTGCTCACGATTAGTTTCTATAAGCACAATACAAGGTGAATGTAGATGAGATGTCCTATAGAAATAATCTTCTTGCGTAGTATAGTATACTAACGCAACGGCCAACGCACTATGCAGCTTGAACTGGTTTTCGAACACCATCTTGCCTTGTTGCCCTTATTTGGATAAAAAATACTAGTAAACTCTGTGGTTCACTGCTTTACAAAGCTTCGCGAGCAGAACACGAAACAAACTATTACAGGTCCGACAGAATAAATTGGGTAAAGGGGTAACAAAAGGGGTGTACTGTCCACTAGCGGTAGAAGTAAAACGTAAAGACCCGACAGCAAGACATATAGAGCCCTTGAGATTAGATATTGACGCTATGACATGAACGAAATACACAACCCTCATGACCTCATATTATGGCGAATACCTAATGACGTACTACCTAGTCTACTGCGGACGCGTGATGGGGATTTATTTTATTTTATTTATTATTGCTTAGATGAGTGGACGAGCTCACGACCCACCTGGTGTTAAATAGTTACTGGAGCCCATAGACAACATAAACGCCGCCACCCACCTTGAGACATGAGTTGTAAGGTCTCATTTTAAACAAGGGATTTATTGTACTCTGGCACCATAACGATCACTGCCAGACTATTGACATTCAAGATAATATGCCTCATACTTGATAAATATATATTCCGGAGCACAGCCTCAGTCTTAAACTAGTGAAGCGGCGAGCACACTGTTTGTTGATTAGCATGTAAACGCGAGTTGCGATCCGGCGTTGTGTAAACTAAAGCCTACCATACACGGACTGTTCTAACTTCATTTCCGGGTAATCGACTAAAAATTGTAATTATTTCGACCCAAGGGTCGACACGTTGGTGGAGATAAGATTTAATGAATTTGAGTGCAATGCGTATGTCGAACTATCTTTATCTCATCAAATTTTAATGTAATATATCTATATATTAATACGTGAAGCAAAAACTTTGTACCCCTTTTTACGAAAATTGCGCTGATGGAGGAGTATGAAATTTTCCACACTCATACAGAATATAGAGAAGAAGTGCACAATGCTAATATTTTTTTTAAATAATGCATAAAAGATACATTAAATCAATAAAGAAAACATTACACACACTACCGTGTATTTGACACACACACGCATGCATAATAGGTATTTATATAATGTCAAACTTTTCTTATTGCATAAAGGCTATAGTCGAATTGAGAATAGATTAAATATTGTTTGTCTTTGTTAATATTTGCCTAAAGTGTAATCTTGGCAAAATCTGTGATTATAGAAGTATAATAGTCTTTGACAATAGAACGATAATAATGTTCAAACTTATAATTTAAATTAATTATAGTTGAATTTCGACTACTGCGGGACCACTAGTTAAAATAATTGTGCAACAAAGTTGTTTTATATCGAATGTTTTTCTATTTGTCAAAGTCAACGCATGTGCATGCAACGCAATGAACATGACGCTTTTTTTCACATTTAATGTCTCACTGAGATTTATGAGTAAGAGACTCCCTATAAATGACCCACATACATATACATATACCTATACTTACATGCACATACTCATTTTCCTTCGAAGGCAGTATAAACTACGCAACTACGCACTCTTAATAGCAGTTTGAAACCATCGCACCGCCCGCCACCAGAGTAGAAGTTCATCCATACTACCTGGAGCCACTGCGTTCATCGACATTGCGTTTCCAGAGATCTTTTTTGCCACGTACCGTCCGGCTTTGGAATGAACTCCCTTCCACGGTGTTTCCTGAGCGCTCTGGTTTGTCCTTCTTGGCTTCGAGGCTTGTGGAGAATACTTAACAGTAGGCAGCGGCTTGGCTCTGTCCCTGGCATTGCAGAAGTCCATGGGCAACGGTAACAACCACTCACCATCAGGCGGGCCGTATGCTCATCTGCCTACAGTGCAATACTAAAAGTGAACAGATTAGAATATGTATTTGAATATCGCGGACAGTTGTAAATCCTAAACGGGAAATTAGTCTACACGTGAATGGCAGGCTTAACATGATTATATTCTGATGATTACATAAAACGTAAATTCAAGTATTGTCATACTAATAGCTAGACCGCCTAGACCACGACTATAGTTCGCCCAATGAACGAAATTCGACATTGGCACTTAAAGATATAGGTAAATCTAATGTACAACTTAATTACTGTATAACTATTCAAAAAAAGACAAAAAGCTGTCAAAAAAAGATACAAAAAAAAACGGATACAAACAGGAGAAGATGTTTCCTACCCAACTGTGTTGTCTTTGTTGATTTATTTGTAGATAATTTATGATGATTTAAGTCTAAAGACATAATTCATTGAAAATAAAATGATATTCTATTTTTTATTCTTACTGGTAGTAAGACCTCTTGTGAGTCAGCACGGGTTGGTACTACCACCCTGCCTATTTCTACCGTGAAGCAGTAATGCGTTTTGGTTTGAAGGGTGGGTCAGCCGTTGTAACTATACTGAGACCTTAGAACTTATATCTCAAGGTGGGTGACGCATTTACGTTGTAGATGTCTATGGACTCCAGTAACCACTTAACCCCAGGTGGGCTGTGAGCTCGTCCACCCACATAAGCAATAAAAAATATATTTTGAAAATAAAAATTAAATTAATTTTTAATATTTTCAGGTAGGTACATGTCCGTATACAAAAGGCTAGAAAATTTGTCTCATACTGTCTTTAGTAGAATAACGCAGCAGCGGATAACTTAAACCACACATTTTAAACCCAGTTTTGGGTCACCCAGCGCCCTTCAAAACCAGTTTACACGTCTAGATATATTCACATCTAGTTACATTCCTGACATTTCAAAGGCAAGCAGGTAATATAAGATTTTGAAAGCAGGCAAACGGGTGTCTGTCGATGTACAGGGGGTTCCGGACTTGAGGTAAAATTTACAGAAATAATCTATACTTATACTAATCCCTACTAATATATAAATGTGAATGTAAGTTTGTTTGTTACACTTTCACGCGATAACTACTCAACCGATCATCATGAAACTTTGTACACATATTCTTGAAGGTATTAGAAGTAACAGAGGATACTGTTTATTAAGAAAAAAAAAAAAAATTTTTACGAATAATTAAAAAAAATTGTTTGTCAAAAAATCTCAAAATCTAGCTTCTGCAACGCCATCTACCGGTTCAGTAATGAAGTTCCAATCCTGAGTACTGTAAATGAAGTCGCGGGTAAAATTTAGCGTTATGCCAAAGTAACTATTCCACGCGGACGAAGTCGCAGGCAAAAGCTAGTAATATTATAAAGCTGAAGAGTTTGTTTGTTTGAACGCGCCAATCTCAGAAACTAATGGTGCGATTTGAAAAATTCTTTCAGTGTTAGATAGCCCATTTATTGAGGAAGGCTATAGGCTATATAGCACCACGCTAAGACCAGTACAAGCGGAGCACCAATAAAGAATGTTTAAAAATCTGGGCTTTTTCCCTTATGAGAGCTTCCGCTGCGTGCTCTGCAGAAACGGTTTAAGTTTCGCTAAAATAATGTATGACAGAATTTTCCCCTTTAAAAGATCTAAAAAAAAGTCCGCGACAGTACATGTCTATATGCTAAAGTTGGCTCACTATAACGTTTTTTATGCTAACCAAATTTGCTCTAAAATAAAGCATTATTTGCGAACTATTCCACGCGGACGAAGACGCAGGCAAAATTTATTTAAAATAAAACTAAATAATGTCTTTTAAATCACTGCAATATTCTATATTCAAAACGCGCAAAGGACATTGCTGCCCTTTCGCCGGACTATTCCTAGTAACCTTATACGATACCCACGGGAAGATCAGCGAGTAAATTAACCCATAGACATAGCCCACTGAGTTTCTCGTCGGATCTTCTCAGTAGGTCGCGTTTCCAATCATTGGGTAGACTCGGTGAAGCAATTCTCTTGCTAGGGCCAGTGTTAGCAACACCTACGGTTTGAGCACCGAGAGCTCACCTACACGCTAGGGTAACGCTGATATAGCCTGTCAAGGCTACCAGCATAGATAGGGGAAAAAAAACGAGAAGAAATAAGGTGATGCTATTCTTGGCCTAAGTCACACAGTTAAAGCCATAGTATGTGCATTGGGCAATTCTCAGCAATCTTTGAGTAAAACAACTGTGACTTATTGGCAGGCGTATGGGTACAGAACTCTAAAACGGAAAAAAGTAGATATATTTAATTATAAAAAAGACAAAATACAAGAAATTTGTGTTTGTTGATTTGTTCCTCAGGATGTAGATACCGGTTACCGTACCACCAATAACATCTTTGTTTATACAAGTGAATTTTAATTTTTCTAAATATTCTGTTGAAAATAAGCAAGCGGTCTTTTGCAACTCTTAACAATACAAAACTCTGACGTTAAGCAGTTTCACAATGCAATTTTAGAGTTGTTTATTTAACGAAATTCCGATCCTTTTCAAAGAATTCACACAAAACGCATCTCTCATACATTCATTCATCATCCATCTGGTCTGATAGACAGAGAGTGTCAATGTTAGAACTTAAATATCACGTCAAACTTATTAAAAATCGTCTGGATGGCGATATCTAATAGCTATCTATCATGCGGGCCCACAATACGTCTAAATAATTTGGCCAAAATCCTGACAAAGATCACCACATTACAGAAACGATAGCTTTACCAAAGAAATATTTGCGTCACACACTTTTTTGGTTCGTTTAGCTACTTAGGACTTCTTTTTTAATATCTTAAACTATAGTTTATTCTATGTTTTCACGGTAAGAACTTATAATAACGTAAGAATAATATTTACCTTCATCCTATAAATCGTAAGCACGTCTTTTATTAAATGAAATTATTCATTTTTATCCATTAAATCCTGCTCAGACTATTGGGCAACAGTAATATAATTATTCTATTTACAGCGGTCCTTGATACGTATGAAAATTTTCATGATAGTCGAATTTCTCAGGGCTGATGAAGATTTACTTAAAATTTTCCATTACGGTTACAGTCATAGAAGCTGATAAAAGCATGAATTCCATTTGAATTTCTGTTAAATGTGTTTTTCTTTTTATTTGAATAAATGTGCATTATCAATACAATAGTGAACGATGTTACAAAATAAAACTTGTTTTGATAAAAAAATACAATTATCTGAGTCTTTATTGCTTTAATTGGTTTTGTTTACAAATATCGGCGGCAGAATTGCAAATTACGTTATTTATTAACACATATAACTAATTATAACAGCTTTATTACATTTGCTCATTTAAAAAAAGACAAAGACATAACAAGCTTAATGAACGGATCTTTGCTCGGTGCTCAGTAAAGTAGATGTTCTATATAGTCATGCTTGTTTTCATAATTTTGTAGTATTATTTATATGTAGCAACTAGTAAGTATGTTATTGTAGTACATTATATATTTATTGGAAAATAATTTTATTACTGGTAGTAGGACATCTTGTGAGTCCGCACGGGTAGGTACCACCACCCTGCTTATATCTGGCGTGAAGCAGTAATGCGTTTCGTTTTGAAGGGTGGGGCAGCCGTTGTAACTATACTGAGACCTTAGAACTTATATCTCAAGGTGGGTGGCGCATTTAGGTTGTGGATGTCTATGGGCTCCAGTAACCACTTAACACCAGGTGGGCTGTGAGCTCGTCCACCCATCTAAGCAATAAAAAAAATAGGCGGTTTTCAATTATTACCTACCAATTATTATTACACTGTATAGAGTATGTGTTGTGATCTGACATTAATTGTTATTTCATTGTTTCAAATTAACCCGGTTTAAAAGATTGTAAGAATACAATTCAAGCCAATTGGAATTTCGACCATATATTTCTCCGAGTGACGATGTAGTTTTTGAGGTCTAGTCTTTTTTTTGGGCCGGGGGCCGAACCTCCTAGACTGACTGAGCTCCTGAACCTCCTGAACTCCTAGGGTATGTGGGACTAGACGGTCCGCAGATGTTGGGAGCGGACCCCGGGCCCAAGGGATGGATTGTAGAACTGGGGTCTAGTCTGCAGTAACTACAAATGTAGGTATTAATTCGTAATCATTCTTCCTACTCTCGTACTCGGTAGGAGTTTGTAGAATTCAACTCTCACGAAGGGACGTTTAATTTGAAAACACTATTTATGAGCTATACAAGTTATACACTCATTTTTATGCAACTTTTTCATACGTCTTCTTTCAACGAAACGGTTCACAGAGAATGCTCCGTGATTGAAGTCTGTACATGACGCGTATAGTGTGCTTAGTGCGAGTTTTTAACTGTCTCGATAATGTAAAAGTTAACTCAAATTTGTATGGTGTTGCAGCGTTCGCCTACCTTTACCGGTAGGGGCGCTGTTCCAACTGCATACAAAGAGTAACTTTTACGTTATAGAGAACGTTAAAATACATAGATAATACACGTAAATTAGTTATAGATATAAGCAACTAAAGCATTCAACAAAAATGTTTAGGGGCGTCGGCCACTAGATGGCCTCGCTTCGATTAGTTTCTCACTGCTCCTGTAGATGGCAGTAACCATATTAACTATCCTATATTTTATTTATAATGAAGGATTTTGTAAATTTTCAAAAACCACAAATTGATAAAATTTAATCAATTTGTCTACAACAAATACAGACTTGTATGTTTTTTTTTTTCTGTGTTTAGTTATACAATAATTAAATGCTTTAACTTTAACAACATATAAGTTTAGAGGCATCCGCTACAAGATGTCGCTAGTTTCCATACAGAAAAAATATTTGTCTTAAAGCATCGCAGTTCCAGAGACCTGTTAAAAAAAGTCGCATAAATCACACAGACCACGCTTGTTTGTTACAAATAAATACACAAAAAATAAAAAAAATACTTTATTCTCGTTACAAATAAATAAAATGTCCTAGTCTAAATTTTCAAATGTTTAAAACTGTGGTACATTTGTTCACGTTATAAGTTTTTTTTATAATAAATGTTACATTACATTAGCGGGATATGACGTAATTGAATAATCTAAATAACGGTAATAACCTATAAACTAGGTACTATAATAAACAGTCGTTGACACACTTTCAATGTCAATGTCATTGTCAGTTGATAAATACAAACTGGAGTTAAAGTCGAGACTGCACTAATGGACACTTCTAACGCGACATTCAGTTACACTGAAATATTTTAAATATTTTAGGGCCTTCATTAATCTCAATACTACATTACAGATCACATTTTCAACTTAAAATACCGTCAAACTATAACTTTAAAAGTTGGTTCTCATTAGATTGGACAGGGTCATGCGTTCCCTTTTGATGTTGCGATCGTCATTCCGATTACGACATCAACCTCACGTCGCGTTGACCCGCGGTAGCTATCACCTGTTCATCAATGGCAGAAAAGGAAATGGTCAGTCGGCCAGTTCCCTCACCCGCCCTTAGATTTCGCAAGGGCCCGACACGTGACTGGTCTAGTAAGATATCGAGCAGATCTCCAAGGAGTTATACTCCTGATTTTTAATAGAATAAATTCATTCCAGCCATCAAAGACTGTACAAAGATTTTTATCGACCTTAATTAAGATTAATTTTACGAATTAATATCCCTTTATTTTATTGTAACGAAGGTAACGAAGGATCGACAAAACCTTAAGCTAATCTAATAATGATAGGAATATCAGTTTATAACCGATTCTATATATATACGTTCCATAAATTTTCATGCCAGTATCACTGGTTTTGAGCAGTCATTGAGGCACTAACGTGCCTTAGGGGCCCACTAACATCACCAAGTGAATGTTGCCACCCACCTTGAGACATGAGGTCAGGCCCCATCTTTGTTATCTATCAATACACAATACAAATAACGTTCAAAAATTTATGTATAACATTGCGCGCGCAGTTCCTCGAGTACGCGCTAAAATATTACAGACCAAAAAGTAATTAAAGATATTTTAGGACACTTTCTTATTGTTATACGTATTATTCTATAGAGCTATAGTCATAGCCGCGCTCGGTCATTAGTTGACACACGACGCAGTCTCCCGGCAACTCGTGCCGGTGATGGGGCAGTCTTACAACATCGAGAGCTGGAAAATACATACTTATTAATAGCGCTAATAATAATTGCGAAGTCATTGCACCGCCTGCCGTACACTGATGCCTTGTTACCTTGCCTTACAAAACCTTCCCGATACTACCAACAGTATTTCTTGGGTTGGGGCCGAACCTCCTCAAAAGTCTAGGGAGTGTGTACGGAGCGCGCGCGATATGTGAGACTCCACTGTCTGCAAATGATGGAAGCAGACAGTGGGCCTAAGGATGTTTTTAGCGCCCTACCCATCAAAGACTTACATTAATTAGATTACCGAACTTCGCACCAATATTACCATCTTCAAGAACTCGGCATTAAGCAGCGTCTTTCGGCGCTCATGCATGGGTACATACTATCATTTTTTGGGCATATCTTTCGGCGAGGAAATGACTCCATAGAGCGCCTTGTCGTTAAGGGCAAAGTAGAAGGCACCAGACCACGTGGAAGGTTGCCCTTGCGATGGACCGACCAAGCCAAGGCGGTTATTTGCTGAGTGTAGCAGGCTCACCACAAACCAGGAAAAGTGGCGATTGCTCTTGAGGGACAGCAATGATACCGACTGAAGACAACGACCGCTCTGACAAGAGTTATACGACAAAAGAAAAACATATTAAAGTACTCCTCTGTACTGTCTGTCACCCAAGCGTCCAATCGTCGCCCGAGATCAGTACCCGGGCAATGTAAGGGGGGTCACGCGGTCAACACTGAAACCGGACTCGCAACGTAAGCACGCCGGGCCGAGACTGCCTTAGAGGCTTATCTAAGATTCTGAAACGTCAACCCATCAGGCCATCCTACACTGCTAACAGCTGTATCAACACTATTTTGAACAATCCAGTGTTCCTGAGCACTGCAGTCTGTACTTCTACAAATAAGATTTGAAGATTTCAGCAGTGGGCACCAGCTTGGCAGTGCGTTGTACATTACATCCTCTAGCTCCGGCAACAACTAGTTCATAGAACATGATTATTCTCAAAACTTAACACCCACATGAAAAACAGCAACTCATCACCATTTACTATTTTTGATTCCTTCACATAAAATATCATCCACTACACAGTTTATGTCGACCTGACAGCTTATTCTATTGTATTGAAAATCCTTTATAGACAATTAGTAGTAGTTTTTATTCAAGGTGCTATTCCCCACATAGCTCACATGGCAGCACCTATTAAAGAAATTAGTCTGCAAATTAAATCATCCCTATTCCAAATTACATACAAAAAACTCAATAAAATAAATAAACATATCGACGCTTGAAAGGCAAACGGGACTAAGCGACAATAACTGCTTTATACAGAAATGATAGGCAATAACCATATTCGATGCGCAAAAAATATATATTTCTAGGTCTATTAAAATCATTTCAATCCTACAGCTACTAGCTAGATTCTACTACAGCTAGATTTGTTAAAATAAATTTTGTTTTCAGGTATTTCAACTTTAAATTATTCTACTGTAAACTTCACGCATTGTCGCTTAGTCACGTTTGCCTTTCAAGCGTCGATATGTAATTATATCTTAATAATTTAATCAAAATCTTTGTATTCAAATTTTAGAAGTAACTAAATTAAAATACATATTTTGTTAGTTTCAAGAAGTAGAAGTAGAATACTTATATAAACCACGCATTTTATGTTTTATAAATGATCTAATTACCTTCATTTTCATTTAATTTTGCACTTTCAGTAGCTGCATATGATGAAGATGCTGCTAGTTTCCTGAACAAAAAAAACTTGACAATTATTGATCAAGTGATTGGCAATTTAACTTACAACTCCTGAAAATAAAATATGTTATCAAAATTCAAGTTTTACTTTACTACTGAGCATGTCTGAGTCCTACTTCGAAAAAGAGGTCAATCGTCGAATCAAGCTCGGATAAACAGCGTTCGGAAAGCTATTTAAAATCTTCTCATCACAAATAGCACAGAGTCTCAGGACGAAAGTCTTTGACTAGTGTGTGTTGCCAGTGATAACATATGGCACTGAGACGTGGTCGCTCACAATGGGCCTTATGAGAAGGCTCAAGGTCACCCAAAGAGCAATGGAGAGGGCTATGCTCGGAATTTCCCTGCAAGATCGAATCAGAAATGAGAAGATTTACAGGAAATCAATGGTAACTGACATAGCCCAAAGGATTGCGACGTTGAAGTGGCAGTGGGCAGGACACATTGCTCGTAGAACGGATGGCCGTTGGGGCCAGAAAGCTCTTGAGTGGCGACCGCGTACCGGAAGACGTAGCGTGGGTAGGGCTCCCACAAGATGGACCGACGATCTATTGAGGTTGGCAGGGATCTGGTGGATGCAGGCAGCGCAGGACCGGTCTTTGTGGTGAGGCTTGGGGGAGGCCTATGTCCAGTAGTGGACGTCTGTGGGCTGATAAGGAGAATAAGACTGAACATCTCAAAATCTGCCTTCAACCAGTGTTATGAGCCTGCACAGACCAGTACAACTTCTTGTCTACTTATGCTGCAAGGAAGACTTGCTTTCCAGTTCAAATTATCAAATGACCATTATTTCACTGCATTAAGCCTTACATCACCTCAAGTTCCAAGGCAACATCCACACTTTATGGGCTCCTTAAAAAATTCACCATTACTGAAATGAAATATAAGTAATGACTCACTTTTTAGATTCAATTTCTTTCATCTGTCTCTCAGCTCTAGACCAAATATCTTCATGGATGGTCTCTTTCAATTTCACTCTTTCTAAATACTCTTTATAATATTCATCTGCCATCTGCGAAGGTCTGTATATACCATGGTCCTGGCTTCTTGCTTTACATCTTGCTTTACTAACTAGATTTTCTACAGCATCAACTGGTTTGTGTGAAGGACTCTTCTTTTTGAACATAGGCACTGCTTCTAAGTTGACTTTTGGAGAGTTAAATGGTGATACAGCCTGTTTGCTACTACTTGGTTTAGTGTTTATAGAATCTTTTTCTTGCGGGACCTCTCTAACCGACCTTAGTATATTACTTTCAGTGTTATTTACATCATCAGAGATAAAATCATTTGGTTTAAGTAGCTTTGGAAAATCATTGGCACTTTCAAACTTTAATAAAGCATTTTCTTGATTTTCCATTTTAAATATTGATTCAATGGCTACATTACGTTCTTTTCTTTTGTTTTTCTTCTTCTTTTCAATCGGTGTTTCTGTGTTTTCAGCACATGGGGTTGCTTCAAAGGTCCTGGGACTGTCTTTCAGTTCATCAGGTGCATTTTCAACACATTCATCAGAGTGGAGGTTGACTTCACTAACCTGAAAAGTAAAACAAAGTTGTTGTCTACACAGCTTACAGTGCTTGTAGCACATCAGCTATCAGGGCTGATAGAAATTTTAGGCTTATAAATTTATAAATTTACTACATACCTTTTCTAGCATTTCTTTAATGAGCCCAAAGTCTGGAGTGGAAATAACATCCCCATCTCCATAATGTCTAAAAAATTCCTCTTCTGTCTCTGTAAATAAATTTTAAGTTATTCATTTTCTCTAGATATTTTTTTTAATTTAACTAACAATAAGTTGCTAGCAAAAAGAATTTACAATTTCTCAACATTAATGTTTATCTTATCGTACATAGTATGTCAATAATTTTAACAAAAGGCTGGATAGCTTCTTGAGCTATAGGGATTTTAGTCAGTTCAACTTCGGTATGACTAGCTTACCGTCTCCAGTGCATAGGCATAGATTTCCTGCAGACTCAAAAAATGACAGACAACAACAAAAATTAAAGTAATTTTTGACATTTTATCGCCTTAAAAGAAATATACATTCAAATTAAAAAATTATATTTTTATTGTTTACATTTATATTCTATTGATAATAATGTAAGCAACAAATGTTATATTATTATTTACATCATTAAGAAATAAGTGTACTGTCAACTTTTTACATTCTTTGTGTTTACCTTCAGTCAAATTTAAAGGGGGCGGTTTATCATCTGCTGAGACTGTAAGATCTATTTCCACCGGTACCTGGCCTTGGGCTTCGCACAAATCACGAAGAATTGCATGCTTACTGGTCCACTTGGACATTTTTTACAAAATTTACAGTTGGAACATTAATTAAAATCTATGTTTCATGCGGTATTATCAGTCTTCATTGTCGTAAAAAATACCTTCTACAGCACTAAGTACCCGATTATATATTGCAGTTTGCAATGATATGTACAAAATCTATAATTACTATCTTATTTGTTTAATTTCTATTAAAACCACAAAACATGATTAAAACATCGTTGCACTGCATTGTCATTTGTCACTTAAATTTTTTTTTAAGTGATTTTATGTCCTGGTAACCAAGAGCTTTAAGTCATGATTTATTTTAATTTATATTCTTAAATATATGAAAAATGATAATAAGGAGTGAAATGAAATGAAGATGATTAATTTGAGATATTAATCAACTGGGTTTAAATTGAATTAAATGAGATGAGATGATATGGGATAAAATATAATCTCAGTAAAATTGTGGTCATTTACTGAATTTTTTTCAATAGACTTTTTGGGGAATCCCGTGAAGTTACGTCCAGTGGCTTTGCTTCATGTTCCCATATTTATGCACTTTCACAGATAATAAAGAAATAATAAATATTAAAAAAAAAAAATAATAATAAGAAAGTAAAACGATTCACACTAATAGGTACCGTACGCTATCCGCGCTTCCATCAAACAATCACAAGAATTGCAAATTTATATTTTTACTAGCTGTGTCCGCGACTCCGCCCGCCTGGAATAGCGACTTTGGGCAGCAGTTTTAGGACATATCTTTTGGTTTATAAGCACCGTCATTTAGGTATTTAGAAAAATCTAATTTAAAGTAATGCTTCTTTATACACAACATAGACGTATAGCCATAGGGGATCAAAGCACACAGGTTGCTAGGATTGCTAACATGTGACAGAGCTACATAACCGTGTGACCGAGTTGACTGTGTGAAAAGCAGTTAACACTTATATCTACACCCACAACTTTTAGCGTCTGACCTTGGGCTTTATTTATTATCATCACGAAGCATAGGCTCAATGGAAACGCGATCGGTAGTGAGTTGTGCTTCCCGTTCTTCTAGTGTCTCCCGAGACCGGGCAAGTTTTTGCTGTCCGAACCCTCTGAGAGCTCAGACGGATTTCCCTATCAGTAAAGGTCTCAGACTCAAGCGATAGTGCATGCGCCTCGTGATCGGCAGTGAGACGTGCTTCTCATTTTGCAAGTCTCTCCTGAGACCGGGCATTTGCTGTCCGAACCCTCTGAGAGCTCAGACGGATTTCCCTATCAGTAAAGGTCTCAGACTCACGCGATAGTGTATAAGATTCACGATCGATGGACAAACTTGCGTCACGCTGTTCGCTGTTCACCCTAATTCGAGTGGTCTTTTTCTGAGAACAATGTGGACTCAATCGAGATTCTCGCTGAGCCGAAGTTTCTCTAACATGAAACCTCGCCTGACGTTCCTGAGATGTAGTGAGTATTGCTTCATGACCTGCTTCAGATTCCTGTGATCGAATTAATTTCATCCTTTTAGCATTTCTGCTGCACTGGGAGAGGTTGGATCTTTTTCGAGGCATTCTTACAATAAGTAGTACCTACTAATACAACGTTGTTTGGTAAACACGTACTTATCATAAAACTAAATTATAAATACTTACAGATTATTACACAGTTTAATTTTATTACAGTTTATTAATTATTAATAACTATTAAGTCGTGTCAACCTAATCTTTTAACTATAGAAAGCAAACGTGCCTATGGGTTAATTTATTCATCGAGCCCTTCGTCGCAAGCGACGGGTTCGTCAAGGAAGCAGCGGCATCGGCGCGCTTTGTATACCCCCGTATATTGATGACGTTTGACACTAGACTGCATTGACTTTTTTTTAAATATTCTAATGCCTTCTGTCTCTCCTACCTACCTACCTACCTGCCTACCTCTTAGGCAATCAGCTTCTATAACCCTAATATCAATCAAGGAATGATCTGATCTGATCTGGGAAGGAATGTGTTTGTTATTTTTCTCTGGCCTGAAACATGTACTGTTTGAACCCCCCGATCCACTCTAAAGCTAGCTTCATCCACTTAAATCTTTCAGGTTTTTCAAGTACCGATCATCGACCTCGTCGATTACAACGAAGAGTCAACGAGCGACCTACCTATAGACACAACCCACTGAGTTTGTCGTTGGATCCTCTCAGTGCGTCGCGGTTCCAATCCGGCAGTAGATTCTGCGAAATACTGTTCTTTTTAGGCCTGGGGTTAGCAGTTTCTCTCAGGTGGAGCCCGTGAGCTCATCTACCCTTCCGCGCGAATCTGGTATAGCTATAGGTAGCTATGGCCTAGGCTATGAGCAATTATGTAGGATAAAAAATAACTTAATTATGATTTCAACGGGCCGCAATCTTATTCTCGCTGATAGAAGTTTCTCACGAACCCGGGTTGTTAGCTTATTGAGTTACAGAAAAAGAGAGAGAGACAGAGAGAAAAAAAATAAAACTTTTTCTTGCACTTTTCTGTGCAAGGAATATTTAATTTTACAACAAATTCTGTCGATAGGAAAATGAAGAGATTTTAACCGAGAGTGGATTTTATTTAACAAATAAAATGTACTCATAATCATGGTAAATAATTTCGTAATTTCTTCTTTATTTTGGTCTTGCTTCTACATGATTTGGTATTTTGACTTAGTGTGTACCTCGTACATAGAAAATTCATATCCATTACGACCCACGAAATTTAGCACTCACTTAATTTAGCTTTATTTTCAGAACTTTATTCTAAAGACCCGGGTGAAGTTTCAGATTGACGGGCCATCGACATGACACAAATCAGACTTCGAGCTCATGTTTTTGAATGGGTGGCGGCATGGAACTGTGATGTCTATGAGCTTCGGTTATCAATTTAAAAATAAGGCTGTGAGCTCATTCATTCAGAAATGCATTCATAAATTATTAAATATAGGCAGTAGGCAGCGGCTTGGCTCTGCCCCTCGCATTGCTGAAGTCCATGGGCGTCGGTAACCGCTCACCATCAGTTGGGCCGTGTGCTCGTCTGCCTACAAGGGCAATAAAAAAATCACTAAGGATAATATCACATTTTCTTCTGAAGAAACTGACATTGAAAAGAAAGAAATGAAACAACGGCAGTTATTTTACATTTTTTTTTTATTTCCATTTTTTTTACATGTTTTGCGTTTGAGTTTGTTTACTTTTTTAATTCTTTAAAGTTACATTTTATTACTAGGTTGCGTTGAAAGGTGAATGGTTCTTGAAATTGGACCAGCGCATGCTAACTTGTTTTTTTTTGCCACATTTTTTTGTATTCTTTATCCACGGTTTATGCGTCATTTCAAATCGAGTTTCCATTGCAAATATCTTGTATTAATATTGAGGAAAAATATGATTGCATTGGTTAGTTCAATTCTTACTAATCTAAACATGAAAGGACTTGGGAGTTTGATGCATTGGTAATATTATCAGGGGCAGTATGAGTTGGCGGAATTTTCCCTTGTGACTTTACAATTTGGTTCCATTCAAGTCACAGTTTACGTCGCTGAACCAACGCAATTGTTCGCTACATTCAAGTAAAACTATTGAACTTGCAATTAGTCTGATCTGCGAGAGAGGCAATGCAACACCAAGTTAATTCACCTATTTTCTTTTTCAAATTCGATGGACAGAGTTTTGCCAAGAGTTGTACTTGAATGAGACGGTTATTAACTGTATTCCGATCTCAATAGCATTTTGCAGTAAAAAACCTTGTAAACATCATGTAAAGCACAAATGCAATTATTTGTTTGTATTTTTTTTGGGTAAAAAGTCTCGAGGTCTATATAAACCGCAACTGCTCTTAGATTTGAAAGTCTTAAAGTCTATGAAATCTTACGTTTTAGGGTTCAGTAACAAATGGATTTTTCTTTCCACTTTTATCTCAATTACAATGACGACTAATCACATAATAGAGGGCGCTCGTCATGACGCTTTTTTTATTGACACTGTAGACAACTGAACATACGGTAGCAGCGGCTTGGCTCTGCCCCTGGTATTGCTGAAGTTCATGGGCGACGGTAACCACTCACCATCAAGTGGGCCGTATGCTCGTCTGTCTAAAAGGGCAATAAAAAAACGGTCTGATTGTGTGTATTCGCTGTCTCTTCACGAAGTCAGCAACTACCACAACAGAGTTAAAATGTTGCACAGCGCCGAGGAAGGAGAGAGGGAGATGGAGAAGGGAGAGTGAGCGAGGAGGAGAAATAGATAACGAGGATATGAAGAGATTAAGAAGGGTGAGAACGAATACCCTTTTATAAGGGTGGTAAGAAAAAACTGTGGAGGAAATTTCATTTCAAAACCGGATAAGGTGCGAGGAGGAAAAATATTTTAGTGGTTCTATATATACATAATTATAATATACATACATACATACATAATTGTATATGCATACTGCTCCGGTGGCGAACCCTACGATGGCAAAAGGGACATAAATAAGTAGTAATCAGATATAGACTTAGATATTATTACTAGATTTAATTTCTACTTTTACATATGTTGCAGTTCATAAATATAAAATGAATACGAACAAAATAATCTACATTTGCACTTGATATTACATTTTGCAACCAGTGTCGTGCGAGCGTAGGGCTTCAACTGCAGAACACTATTCGAGAGATTCGGAAGACCATTGATTAAATAGCAGAATAAGCCAATCAAATACAAAACAATGTATTCAGTTTCTATGAAATATTTATATTGGCTTATTTTTACTATTGTTCTTTCTTTCAAGAGACTTTTACAGCAAATTTCAAATCGGGTCTCGGTTTTCTTGGAAATAAACTAGGGCATTCTGAATAATTCGCAATAAAGCAGTGGTTACTATTTTTATAAGGTAAGTTAAGTTTGTTGTTTAAAATGAAACGGAACAAGATAAACTGGGGCAGCCCTGTTTAGTTACGTTTGGCTCCACTGACTAATAGCTCACGGCAATTTTAACGTTAGACATCAGAAAGACGTAAACGAGCTATAAAGCTCAGCATTTCATTTCGAGCTGTAAAACTCCTGTACGTCTTTCTTCTTCTTTCTTTCGCGTTCGTCATAAGACGAGTTCCATTACATTTCCCGCCCGTCGCAGCTGAATTATCCGACCGCCACGCCTCGTGCTCGACAAACTAGTGATCGATTATTAGAGACAAAAAGTAATGGCGTTTTTAATATTCCCCACGACATGAGGGAATCTTCAATGGACATTACATCCTTAAAGTATCAGATAGTCGTTCTAGTTTAAAACTTTGTACGAACTGGGAGAGTTGCTTTGCAGATCGTTACCGAGTTCATAATAGTATTATTTACGATCATTAGATGTGGCATTGTGTGTTACAACCAAAGGCCAATCACATATACAGTGATCGTATATTTAACTGCCCCACTTGACTAAGATTTTTTTCCTGTCAAAAGACTTTTACAGCAAAGTTCAAAGCAAGTCGTTTCCGTTTTTATAAACCAATTAAACTAATAATACATAGATAATTTAAAAAACATAAAAACCTTTCTAGTGGAGTAAATAAAAAAATTGCAAAAGAGAACACAAGAATACGCGATAAACCCGTTACCCGATAGATTCGTTCATCAACTTTGATGATCAACATCAAAAATACATTCACCATTTGAGCATTTGTGTCAATGATCGCATTTCTAACGGGTCACGATATTTAGGTAGGTATTGCCCGTGTGCCGGGACACCGTTTGGGACACTCACGACTGTCAAACGAGGATCGGAACTTGATTCAGAGAAAGAAAAAAAAACTACGATCCGTGGAAATTTCTAGAGTATTAATTTATCTGCTATAATTTTCAATTGAAAAAACTTGTTCTTATCTTATCTAGGTGTGTTCCCTAGATTTTCTTTGGGTGCTAGTTTTAAAACCCATGATCCCATAACTGTAATACGCTATATTATACAGGGTGTCCCATTAGTAGTGGAACAACGGGGTATGCGGAATAGAATTCATATAGAAGAAAAACACTTAATTTTTTTTGTCCTAAGTCTTATAGTTTTGAAGTTTGGATTTTTTAAGGACGTAATTGACGTATTTAAATTTTTGAGTATAACGTACGACAATTACATCTAAATAATAAATTTAAAAAAAACTATTATTAAAAACGACATACTTAGGACAATAAAAGCTATAACTTCAAAACTACAGACTCAAGACTTTCAAGTGTTATTCTTAGTTATTAACTCCCTCTATTCTCGGTAACCAGTAACGAAACACCCTGTATATATTACAATATTTCGACAGTAAAAACAATCCAATCAAATTGATTTTCTAGATAGTTGATTGGCTAATGTTTACTATCATTCCATCCTATCAAAAGTCTTTTACAGCAAATGTCAAGGCAGGTCCCACATCAGCTTTCTTAATAATCTACAATTACACTAATACGCCACTAAATAAATAAAACTTTCTTCTTAGTAATAAAAATTAAATTTCTAACTACGGAATAAAATAAAAAATAAAAAATTCATATTGCGTTACATTTGCATTTTGGTCTCGCAAACTTCATTGTGAACTTTGACATTGAAATGACATTCCATAATGCGAGGATAATTGGAGGGCAACATGATCATAGACCTATAAATTATGGACGCGACATATTTGTTCTATACGTACAATTGCTTATACAAATAGCACTCATTTTGAAGGTACACACATAAACAGATATCTATCTCGTTCTTACTCAGCACTGCAACTCGCAGGAAAACAATATAACAGTATTACAGTGCGTACATAAAATGAAACAAGAATATACGTAAATGTCTAATGAGGCCGAAAATCCGCCATGCTTACACTGAAGTAGGAAACCTATGGAAATGAAACGTCAACAAAAAATTCGTGCCACTGTGACGTCATCTGGCCGCTAAACATGGCGGTTTTAGTGCTGCCCAGAAGATTTTAATGTTATTAGGTTTTATCGATAAACGTTCTTGGTTCATTTTATTTTAAATATTGTTGAGTATTAATTATTTGTAGAATTTATACTTTAATAGAAAGTAAGTAGGTATATTGTTATGTGCAAAGATGATGTGATTTAGTTGTGTGAAATCTAAGACAAGTTCGTGCTTTAAATTTGCCAAGTGAATTATATGACGATTTTTAAAAGTTACTACACTGATTTTATAAAGTTGTTGTTTAACGGCTGAACTGAAATGACAATGACATTTGGTGCGCTAAACATGCATAGACCTATATAGTAGGGACGCGACATATTTATTCTATATATACAATTGCTTATACAAATAGCACTCATTTTGAAGGTACACACATAAACATATATCTATCTCGTTCTTACTCAGCACTGTAACTCGCAGGAAAACAATATAACAGTATTTCAGTGCGTACATAAAATTAAACAAGAATATACGTAAATGTCTAATGAGGCCGAAAATCCGCCATGTTGAGCGCACCAAGTGTCATTGTCACGTCAGTTAAATAAAATGAGCCAAGAACGTTTATCGATAAAACCTTATAACATTAAAATCTTCTGGGCAGCACTAAAACCGCCATGTTTAGCGGCTAGATGACGTCATAGTGGCACGCGTTTTTTGTTGACGTTTCATTTCCATAGGTTTCCTACTTCAGTGACTTGGAAGGCAACACGATACAATCTTAACGTTTTATCAACAAACAAACATAATGACTATGTTACAACAACTTAGAATAAAATGGAGATGAGTCTGGTGCTTTTTAAATAATTTTTTAATCAGTTTTGTTACAGCAGAGTGAAAATTCCTAAGCAGATAGGATACCATGTGTATGTTCCGATAAATCAACAAGACCCAAGTGCAAATCATGTCTGTGAACCATCAAATCCAACATTGTGCTAATGTTACACAAATATGAACATTATAAGCTTGTTACACGTTCCACGGTCATTTAACACAATATCAGGGAATTAACTTTACAGCCAGCCTGTATACAGAGTTGTGTGAGAAATGTCCCGATATAAACATTGTAAACAAGATGTCAACCGTGAACACTAGTGAACACATTTACCTTACATATTTATGACTTTCATAAATAGTCAAATCGTAATGGTTTGTACATCCAATTTTAAGCCTCCGACCTCATCTAAGAGACCCACTTGATACCACTGGGCCATGAGCATAAATTCCCTTACCAATTGAATAATAACATAATATACAAACATTGTATACAATTAAAACGACCATTCTATTAGCTAGCGTAAGCAGACGAGCAAATACTCTGGTAGTGTTGCTTGACATTAACAATACCAATACGTTTTGACAGGTTGCATGCTATTTGTTTGTACAGTTATGCAAATGGAGCTTTGATATTTAATTGTTTGCTATGAGTTTGGTGATCCTTTTTAAATGCAAGCCAAACATATATAAATTTGATACAGATTAATCTTTTTAAATGTCGTGCATGCCTGCAACACTGCTGCATTTTATACTCTATTCAGAACATCACTCTCACTGATTCGGAAGACAGCTAATAGAAAAATAATTATGAGTCAATTTGCTTAAAATTTAACAAGGAAATCTATATGTTCAAAGGCATTTGTATATTTTCAGAATCTTCCATAGAGTTTCCAGATTTGGCCCTCTTGAGTTCATCGTCTTTCTCCTTCAGGATTCTGTCCAGATTCACCCATGTGTTTCCAAGTTCTTTCTTTTTCTTCTCCTCTACCCTGGCTGTGTACATTTGCATCAATTCATCAGCGTATTTAGAAGGCTTGTACTGTTCAGTGACACAGTAGTTTGATTGCTTGGCAACCTTTTTCTCAGTTTCAACGGGAGAATTCCTTCTGCTTGTATCTTTCCGTTTGAAAGTCACAGGATTGAGAAATAATCCTGTTTTTATTAGTTTTTCGTCAGTTTCATTGAGCCAAGTACTTACTTTCTTTATGGAATTTTGTATTTGTGAATCAGACGCGTTAACATTCGTCAATGCTTCTGTAGCTCCATTTTTAATTTCTGGTAAGGACAGAGGTTTATCAAATCTTTGAGGTAATGCAGAGTTTATTTCAATTTCAGAATTTATCACATTCATGGGTGATTTTCTTAAATTGATTTCATAATCTTTCGGAGCAGCAAATTTTTTCCTGTTACATATGCTATCATCAACTTGATTTTTGTTATCAATATCAGTGTCAATATCTAGTAAAGGCACTTTGGTAATTCTCATAACTTTTTGTTTAATTGGAATTTCTGTAGCTCCCTCTTTTTCCAAAGGCAAACTTTTGCATTTCTCGTAATAGTCTGGAGTGATTAATTTGATTTCATTTTTAACTGTACGACTTTTCAAATTTTCATTCGGTATTGACAGAAGCTTCTGTAGATTAGCTATAGCCACATTTTTGGCTTTCTTCATTTGTGGGTTTTTCGCATTACTCATTAATATAGTTTTTTTCAGCTCATTTGCTGCTTGTGTGCAAATTGCATTGTCTAGTGATGCCTGCATAACTATATCTTTGTTCTCAGTACCTTTAACTATCTTATTACTAGCACTAAGAGAATCGTTTACCTCCCTATTGCGTTCATTATGATTAGCAATTGTAAAATTAGTTTCACTCTTATCATTTTTTGATGTAACATCCCTATCAGTCTTTTTTATTACACTTATATTTTGTCTTTCACAAGTTTTAGAATCATGCATAGTTCTTGGCACAAATTCTTCTACATTAGGATTTAACTTAGTTATTGTAATATCAAAAGAACCCTTTGAAGTAGTAGAGCTCTGTTTTACCTCTTTCACCTCACTTTCCGTATAATCGTTTACCTGAAAACATCAGGAATATCTTGAAGAAAATAGTAAGCGCCACACAAAAATCTGTCATCTAGAATATTATGTGTAGTATTTAGTAGTAGTAATTATTAATGCGATTTAAAGACAATGTCTTCATGGTCTAGTGCATAATGTAAATAACAGTGAGATTTATTTTATTTCTTACGAAGTAGGCACAGGATAATATTTACATAAATAGAACCATGGCTGTGCCCTTGGTACTCCTGATGTCCATCAGAGACTGCCTAATTATTTTATAATGCGGCTCGACATAATCGACGGCAATAAACATAGAACTTAATTTTTCGGCTAAAAACTTACCACACGTAGCATGTGCTTAATCGCGTTGAGATCTGGTTTTGTTTCTTCATCAACTGTTATCTCCCCCTGGGCAATGCCGAAACGGAGATTCAATTCATCTGCAACAATTAGGTGTTTTTAACCTGAAGAAACAAGACGGTCTATTAAGGATTTAAGTTGTAATGGTTATCAATGTAAAGTAGTATTGACAATCCCTGTCTATTATTTTTCTGCCTAAGACACAGATCCAGTCTGAAAACCCCTTAGACATAGTCGTTATTCCATTGCAGTCTATTGTCTCAAAAAAGATAGAGCAGACTTTGTACTATAATGAACGTTTGTGCAACAAGGCATATTATAAAGTTAAGGATTATTTACTAGATGGCACTACGTGGGAATGAGGCGCTTGCTCCTGGCCTTTTCATTTTTCATTACTATTTTTTTTTTTATAATTGTATTTTTTTGACTTGTTTTTGCTTTTATTGTGAATATTTCTATTTATTTAAAAAAAAGAAAATATTTGAGAAAAAACAAAAATAAAAAGCCCGCTGAGTTTGTTTCGCCGGTTCTTCTCAGGACTGTGGCTTTTTTTGGAACCGGTGGTAGAGTTAACATTGTTATTTGTATTTTGACATTCAACAAGTGTGTCATACTGACATCTAAGTTGAAATAAATGATTTTGAATTTTGAATTTGAATGGTTATGACGTTTTTTTTTATTGCCCTTGTAGACAGACAAGCCTATGGCTCGCCTGATGGTGAGTGGTTCCCAAAGCCCAAGGACTTCAGCAATGCCAGGGGCAGAGCCAAGCTACACCCTACCGTATTAGTACTCTCTAAAAGCCTTGTTTGAAGAAGGAAATGTCATAGGGCTTGGGAAATAACGTGAAGTGGAGCTCATTCCAAAGCCAAATGGTACGTGGCAAAAAAGATCTCTGAAAATGCACTGTGGATTAACACAGTGCCTCCAGGTAGTATGGATAATTTCTACTCCTATGGCGGCGGTACAATGGTAAAAACGAGATGATTGGTTCATCTCAAACAATTTATTAGAGCACTCCCCATGGAGCATATGGCACAAAATACAAAGAGAACTGAAGTCCCTCTGCAGACCCTGAAGTTCCAAACAATCCGTAAAGAATGGGATTATTAACAATCCCAACATCCCTCTTCTGTATGAAGTCAAATGGAAATGGAAGTAGCTGGTACTTGGGAGCTCCAGCCTAAAAGTGGGAGCAGTACTCCACGTGAGGGTGAATTTATACTTATAAAACAAGTTTTCTTTACATAAATTCATCAGTGAACTTGTCTGCTGTTTGCCAAATTAACAATAATGAGTGGCAACCACACAGCACAAATGGTTTATTAGGTAACAGCGAAAGTTTTTACAGTTGAACAAACCTAAACTATTTTCATCTTGATACAGCCGCATTGGTGGTGGTTTTTGGCCAACAATCAAATCGCTGTTGTGCAATTTCTGCAATCTTCTTCCATTCACTTCTGCCAGGTCTTTGAGGATATCTCTCTTTGTTGTCCACACCTTATTGCTCATTATGATGTCAGGACCTATTCAATAGACAGACAGATTAGGAACCTGAGCATTTCTCTGCTAACTGGGAAATCATTATCGCAAATAAATTATATATGAATGTTGTTGTTCTTGCTGATGCAATGATATTTTCTGTTTATTTTAATCAAAGAATTCCAAATTTAACCCTTATCAACTCCTACTACTAAGTCAACAGCAAGAGTTGAAACCCTAAGAATTCCTTTAACAGGAAGTCATTTGTGAACACAAATTGAGTAGGTCAAGTATATTTAATTAGAGAAACTGATACCTAGCTGCAAGGCTCAAATAAACACATTGCAAAAGACAGGCACACAGGGATATTTAACATGGGTGTTTGCTATTTAAAACATTACAATGTCGATAATATAATATATGTAATGGTGGATTTATATTGTACTTACCGTGTTCTAACACATATAAGCAAATTATGTACTTTTTCAGGAGAAGCATTGAAAATTCAACATCTTAATATAATTATTATATAATACTACACAACTAAAGAGATAGAATGATAATATTTAAACTACTACTTATAACATTATTAATAAAAGCAAACATCTCACTAATAACTATTAAAAAATGGATTTTCTCAAACTCAGTTCAGTTTTAACAAGAATCGCATAAGCGACATTATAGCTCTGTATGTGCGTTATGTAAATGCATTTAACATTAATACATTGAAGAGGCAATGTAGAAGGTGAATCACACCTTAAACAAATACCTTAGATCGTTTTATGATAACAGCTGATAGTTTGGATGTGATTTTGGAACAATGTACCTACTTAACAAATTATTATCACAATAGGGTTTTGTTGTGAAACAAATAATGAAGAATTGTACATTTGTAGTACCCAAATCACTGAATTTTATCACAGGGGTATAAATTTGTTTTTCCTTGAGATGACGGATAGAAAGACTCAAATAATAAATATATTATGAATAATAATAATCATAAGTTACTTATTAAATTGTTATTTTGAAAAATATTGCAAAATTTTAAGACACCACAATGAATGGACTGCGTAACGTAATAACAGCGTGAACGAACATGAAATTGAAACAGCAACTTTCATCGGAAAATACTTATGTGTCACAATATACAAATAACTACTACCTAATCCAAATGTAAAATATTAGGCTAATAAAACAAAAAGCCAATACATATGTACGTACCGATGTTTAATTCATTAAATAAAATATATCATATAATTGTAAAACTTGTACCTACCTTTATGTGTGTAGGTACTAAAAAGTATTGATTGATCGGCTTTTTTTTGAAGGATTTTATGACCTGGTAACTAAGACTTTTCAGGCATGTCTTATTTTAATTATTTACATGCTTAATTTTATGAAAAATGATAATATGGAGTGAAAGGAAATGAAATGAAGATGATATTAAATATCGATCGGAGACCATGACAAGTGCTACCAACTAGATACCGTAAAATGGGGTGATTAGGGATTGAGAAGCGAATCGGGAAAAAACCAGGAAAATCTTTCGACACTCAATATTAGTTTTATATTCGTTGCAAAGTCTTCCATTTTTTTGTAGTTTAATAGTAGAGTGTTGAAAGTTCACAAAACAGCTCTGAATATGCATGATAATAGCTGCTAACTTATAAAAAATCGCGTTTCAAATTAACTTCCTGTGGTGGTAATTATTTTAGTGCTAGAAAGTTTGCTCTCTTTTATTTATTTGATAATAATAGAAGACGACTGTGATTTATATATATGTACGTTATGTAGTATTTGAACTATCATATATATTAAAGGTAAATCTCAGTTGTTATTGGTTGTAATGTATTTGATAATATAAAAATACATGTGGAATTCTGTCGTTTTTGGGGATATTGGGGGCATCTTAGGTACAAATAACAACGAAAAAGAGGTCAATTGGGATGAGAATTTAATTTGATTTTAAGTGTATAATCTATGATTTGATTTCTTCGTTTTTGGAATATTTTACAAGGTGAATGAAGTTAGCCCCTCAAAAAAATTTTTTTTTCCTATTTTATACTTCTTTTCTATTAATTCGTTTGTTCATCATTTGTTCTGGATTGTTCACTATTAATAATTGTTTGTTCTGCATTTAATTATTTTAAAAAAATATTTAAAAATATATGTACAAGTTAGCCCCTCGATTGCAATTTTTAATATTTTTTCGTCCTTAATGACTCGTAAATATTCATTTTCGATTGTTCTTATATAAAACACGTTTGTTCTCTTTCGAAATTACTAGTTTTTTGTTTAATTTACTATTAGTTGTATTAGTTGAATAAATGTATGCAAAATATGTGTACTGCGCATGCGTCAACTATAATGCCTAAACTTTCTACGCGGTTTTAATCGTGAAAAAAAAAACAAATATAAATCCTGAAGGAGCAATTAATTGGTATACAGTTTAATTAAAAAAAATAAAAAAAAAATTTTAATAAATGAAATAATGTACATTGGCGTAAAGTTAGACCAAATACATTTTTTCCATCCTCCTACCTATCGTTATGAAGGTATAAAAAAGATAGGGAGTTCACATAGGTAATATAAACAAATAAGTAAATAATATGTTCATTATTTATCTTTCAAGAAATAATGTAGGTATACATTATAATAACATTAGTAAAATAACATTTTTTTTTATAGGTTATGTATTGAAAGTGTTGGAAAATTATTTCATGTTTTAGCTGGAAAATGACATTGAGAATTATATGCAATACAAGATAATGGGCTCCATCAAATGAGTTCCAATGAAACCAAACTGTTTACCATCCAAATTCGATTGTCGGGCAGATAGAAAACGAAAATTCACTCAAAGTGAACCTCGGCCTGCATTTGTAAAACGGCAAAGACTCACTATTGTCAAGGAGATTGAAGAGACGACTAAAAATGAGATGTGTTATATTATTATACCTTTGCCATCTTGTAGTCAAGGTAGGTGTAACTGTCAAACACCAGGAGGACGGGACGGCGCGTCGGCGGCTGCGGACTGCGATGCGGTCCGCATTTTCGTCGTCGCTGTCGTCGCCGAACATACTGTTGAAGAGCAACCCGGTCGGCGGTGTATCGCGTTCCGACCCGGCAGGCTGGTTCTGGCCCAGCGGGGTATCCCGGAACACCAGCGGCATCGCCCGGGCGGCCTGAAGGGCCGCCGTACCGCGAAGACTGACGTCGTTGGTCGTCGACTATCGCCTCGACGACCCGTCAGTCGGGCGTCCTCGGGGTGGCGCCGCGTGTCTGGTTGTAGTGTTGACCGCGGGAACCCCCCTACTCTGAACGGGTTCTGACCCCGGACGGAGATCGGACGTCGGGTGTAAGAGTGCAGGGGAGTCGTTTAGTGGGTGGGCCCTAAAATCCTTGGGCCGCGATCTGCTCTCAACACCTGCAGATCGTTGAGTCTCACATACCCCGCGCGCCCCCTAGGCGCGGGGACCTCGTAGGAGGTTCGGCCCCCGGCCCGAAAAAAAAAAAAAAAAAAAGGTGTAACTGTCAATAATTAGTAACACTCACAGATCTCATAATCAAATAACAATATCAGAAAAAAAGGAGAATAGTTAGTTAGTTAGTGGAAGTAGCCAAAATGGGCAAGTGGACCTCAGTTCCTATTACATAAGGTACTACGAAGTTTGTGATAATAAAAATTTATCACAGTGTAATATCACTTACTTACTTTAACAGTGAAGGAAAACATTGTGATGAAACCTGCACACCTAAATGTTCTTAGGATTTTCTTAAGTGTGTAATCCACCAACCAGCACTAGGCCAGCGTGGTGGACTAAGGTCTAAAAACCCTCTCAATGGTAGTGGAGGCCAGTGTCCAGCAAGGGGATATATTATATGGGCTGATGATTATGACTAGGAAGTTACATACTACTACTACTACTACTACTACTACTACTACTACTACTACTACAGTACACATATAATCCTATATATTTTTTAGGAATATAATTTCGGCTGTGTAAAAAAGTTATTATAATGTATACCTACATTATCTCTTGAAAGATAAATAATGAACATATTATTTACTTATTTGTTTATATTACCTATGTGAACTCCCTATCTTTTTTATACCTTCATAACGATAGGTAGGAGGATGGAAAAAATGTATTTGGTCTAACTTTACGCCAATGTACATTATGTCATTTATTAATTTTATAATTTTTTTAATTAAACTGTATACCAATTAATTGCTCCTTCAAGATTTATATTTGTTTTTTTTTCACGATTAAAACCGCGTAGAAAGTTTAGGCATTATAGTTGACGCATGCGCAGTACACATATTTTGCATATATTTATTCAACTAATACAAATAGTAAATTAAACAAAAAACTAGTAATTTCGAAAGAGAACAAACGTGTTTTATATAAGAACAATCGAAAATGAATATTTACGAGTCATTAAGGACGAAAAAATATTAAAAATTGCAATCGAGGGGCTAACTTGTACTGTTAATAAAATTTTTTAAATAAATAAATGCAGAACAAACAATTATTAACAGTGAACAATCAAGCACAAATGATGAACAAACGAATTAATAGAAAACAGGAAAGAAAAATTTTTTTGAGGGGCTAACTTCAGTCACCTATTTTGCATGTGTAGGTTCGTTGTAGGTACCTACTTATAATTCTATGGTAGGTAGGTTCTCAAATATATTAAGTGTATAATCTATGTAGTAGGTACGGTACTATGTACGGTATAGAGACTTTTTGGCGGGAACGCGAGGAGTGAAGTTGTGTGATTTGTTTTATTTTGTCTATTTAGTGTTTCTTCAGTTTTAAATGTGTAATAACGGTGGTTTATTAACTGTTTAATATCTGTGAAAGTGCTTACATGTGGGAAAATGAAACAAAGCCGCTGGACGTGACTTCTCGGGATCCTCAAAAAAGTCCAATGATAAAGTCTCAGTAGATGACCACCATTTTACTGAGATTATATTTCATCCCATATCATCTCATCTCATTTCATTTGATTTCATCCCGGTTGATTTATGTCTCAAATTAATCATCTTCATTTCATTTCATCATTTTTCATAAAATTATGAAAATAAATTAAATTAAGACATGACTTAAAGGTCTTAGTTACCTGGTCATAAAACCCTTAATTATTTATTAGATTCTGATTGTTGTGTAAATTTTCGTATTATTGTCACAAACACACATAGAAAATAGAGTACCTACATACATTTACGAATTTACAATTTTGAAAATCTAAAATGAGTGATGAGAAACTTATAGATGAGACGCAGAGCCAATCAGTGGCTGGAATGGAAGCATTGAGAATAGAAGTTGATAACAAAGAAAATAGTGATCCATCAAAATCAGATAAATTAAAAGGTATCAAGTTGTGTGATCTTTTAAGACTCAAGTTTCTAGTTCTTGGAATAATTCGTGTGAGAGCGGTTATTAAAATGAAAACAAGTCCAAGAAATGTAAATAATATAACATATTAAAAAGAAGATATATTTAAATAAAAAATTGACATTTTCAAAAAACAAATCTAGGATTTTATGTCCCACCTAACTAAAGAGAATATGGGTATCTATTTTAATTAGTTAATATCCTAGTATTAATAGTTAAAATTATTTAAAAATATAATGAAATTGAAGCATGATTTTGTCCAAAAACTTTGTGCCCTATATAATAATTATATACTATATATAATAAAGTATAATTTATTTCATAAATGGTGTACAGAAATTCAGGCTACAGATTTTAAAAAAATGGGTAATCATAACGTGATGTAAATAACTATGAAAACACATAGGCAGTGTTTGAGGGATTAACTAGAATTAACATGAATGCATTATCAGTAATTGTAATAAAAATGGCCATGAGTACTTATGAGTTAACAATGTGGATGGGCAGATCCAGTCTTTCACTAGAGCTTCATGCATCTATGGTATTGACTATTCGAGCTTTATATCAGAATTCATGATACATTTGCAACAGAAATAAGCTGGGTCATCGACCTGGTCTGGTTGTAGTGTTACCATGGTAACCCTCCTGGCCTCGGAGGGGATCGGACGTTGGGTGTAAGAGTGCAGAGGAGTCGTTTAGTGGGTGGGCCCTAAAATTCCTTGGGCCCGCGGTCTGCTTCCAACACCTTGCAGATCGTTGAGTCCCACATAACCCGCGTGCCCCCTATACGCGGGGTCCTCATAGGAGGTTCGGTCCCCGGCCCGAAAAAAAGAAGGGTCATGGACCTAGAATTTATTTGGACTCAACTTATTTTGTCAGTGGTCAAGGCTGTCGTTTTACAAATTTATGGTGCGACCTATAAGTTAAATTCCATTACACCAAATGCACAGTAAAAATAATGAATCTGTTTCAATATTTTTCAGTCGACATTCTACTGAAAGCGACAGGGAATGCTCCTATAATGAAGAAAAAAAAATGGGCTGTTGATGCTGAAAAGCCTATTGGATGGATTATGGAGTTTGTAAAGAAATATCTCAAACTTGAAGCAGATGAGAAATTAGTGAGAGAGGATTACTTATTAAACTATATTATAATTTAAGACACTTTAATCTGTTGCATTTCTATCAGATTTAGATGACTGCAACATGACAACATGCATAATTCCTGAACTCTTGTGCTCTTGTCATGTGACAGCATTTATAACAAGAGTGATCAATCAGATGATTGTCCAGTTTTATTGTGACATACAAGCATAATTACCAATACCAAATTATAAAATTTTCAGTTCCTGTATGTGAATCAGACTTTTGCGCCATCACCAGATCAGATTGTCAGGAATCTTTATGAGTGCTTCGGTACAGATGGGAAACTGGTCCTGCATTACTGCAAAAGCCAAGCTTGGGGCTGAAGACTGATGTTAATTATAAGGCTGCAACAAATATATTGAAGAAACACTCTATATTTAGTTTTGTCAATCTGTTTGTTTTTATAGTTTATTTTCAATCATATGATTTGGAACATATTACCAAAAAAATAATCATGCAACCTATATTCAAATAGTCATTGTTGCATTATAACTTAGTGTACCCTTGTACGTGTAGTGTTCTTTAATAATATAGACATTACCAAGGCTACCACCACCCTGCCTATTTCTTACGTGAAGCAGTGATGCGTTTTGGTTTGAAGGCAGCCGTTGTAACTATACTGAGACCTTAGAACTTATATCTCAAGGTGAGTGGCGCATTTGCGTTGTAAATGTCTGTAGGCTCCAGTAACCACTTAACACCAAGTGGGCTGTGAGCTCGTCCACCTAATCACCTAACCATCTAAGCAATAAAAATAAAAAATAAACATTTTAATGATGCTTTCAGAAACGATTTCGAATTTACAGTTTTACAGTTAAGTTATAGTAAGTTTTCTCCATCTCAAATATCTGTCTAATATAACATAACTTCCATCTTAAGACAACGCAGTCTAGTAAAGGACAATGCCCAAAAGTGGGCCAACTTTATGTCAAAACTATTTGTACTTGAAAAACTATGCCTTATTTTTTCACGTTGTTTAGTTTATGTATCAACATTTCTTTCAACCTGGCATTGTTTTCCAAAAAAATTAATTACTTATTTGATAACATCCCAAAACTGAGTGCCATAGTTTTTAAATTCGCCAATAGGCAAAGGGCTTAGCCCATACAGCCTTATAGCAAACCTATATGCTATCAAACGAAAGAGTTGTTTGTGACATGAACAACAAATTAAAACAAAATAGCTAATGCTTATAATTCACAGGCTTCTTAGTTTATTTTTGTTCAATTCAATATTTTTATATTGTAATAATAATTATTACTTAAAACCATGAATTATTTAATATTTTTAGATATTAATGATTCCACTAGTAAAAATATCAATGGCCTACCATTACTCTATTCTTAATAAATATGATCAGAGAGTTTTGGCAGCAACCCGGGTGAAGCGTCGCGTCACTTGAATTTTTATTTTAATGTTTTTTTAATAGTTTATTGTGTAATTTGTATTATTTGTATCTGTAATATTGTGTATAAAAGGTCTGCGTAAACTCATGCTCAGTCAATGTGGTATTCGTCGAGTTGACGTCAAAACTCCCAAAAAGCAATAAAAAGAGATACACCGGCTTTTTATTGACATAAAAAATATATAACTTCGACAGACTAGGCTGTATAGGCTATGCTCTTTGCCTGCTTATTGGTGAATTTAAAAACAACAACAACAATATCGTTGCCGGCTTCCGGATTTTCATTTCATTTTATTATTATTATGAGGATATAATAATAATAAAATGTACGTAAGGGCTTATTTCTAGCAACATTAAGCACAATTAACTTATTTAATACTGTAAATAATTATGAGAGCGATTATTGATTTCGAAGAAAACAATTNTTGCCGGCTTCCGGATTTTCATTTCATTTTATTATTATTATGAGGATATAATAATAATAAAATGTACGTAAGGGCTTATTTCTAGCAACATTAAGCACAATTAACTTATTTAATACTGTAAATAATTATGAGAGCGATTATTGATTTCGAAGAAAACAATTAACAACTTAATTTTAGCTGCAGAAAAAAACAGATTTCTTTTAAACCTGGGTGAGAATATAAAAATCGTTTTCTGAATATGAAACGATATTTCTTTGTCTATCAAATTAAGTTAAAACTATCATGACAGGGCAACTTTTTTTAGGGGCCCAAACGCCCATAGAAAATGGGCATTGTCCTTTACCGAAACTTCAAGATTCCTAACATCAGTCAATGTTAGATTGAACGCTATTTTAATATTTAAATAATATTCAAACAAAGAAATGGGCTAAACGTAATACAGTGAATTTTTTCATTTCAAATATTTTAAATTATAATAGTTACGAAATAAATAATGATAAATAACGTAAGATTAATAATTATATTACATCGTATAAGCGCAATATCGTACATAATTATTATTTAAACAATGCTATCTTTTATTTGTTGTGTGTTGTAAATGTTTTAATGAAATACAATAAATAATATCAAAATATCGTTTTATTTATTTAAGAAAGAATTTAAAGTAAATATTTAAAAAAGTCAGTCTTCATTTCTTGTCACCGTTCACGTATTGCTTGCTTGTGGTCCTCGTGGGCAGGTCGTCTAGAACAAGACAAAGCATTCTAAAACTAAACGAATGTTTTTCTCAAAGGTTCCAGTACAGCCGCAGCGAACGGAGACAACATGCACCTTTTTACTGGTGGTAGGACCTCTTGTGAGTCCGCGCGGGTAGGTACCACCATCCCTGCCTATTTCTGCCGTGATGCAGTAATGCGTTTCGGTTTGAAGAGTGGGGCAGCCGTTGTAACTATACTGAGATCTTAGAACTTATATCTCGAGGTGGGTGGCGGCATTTACGTTGCAGATCTATGGGCTTCATTAACCACTTAACACCAGGTGGGCTGTGAGCTCGTCCACGCATATACAATAAAAAAATTAAAAAAGTTTCCGCTACTACCAGTAACCCCGTTCAATTATGGAACATCTCTCCCTTCGAACTGGATCTCGTGTGGTCAGCTGATTAACATTAGTACCTGGAGGCTTGCAGCACTTAACCCCGCTGTTTTTCGGGGGAGTTTTGTTGCTGGATCGTGCCGTAGCCTCGCAGGGACAGCACGAGTGGATGCTGCTTCGGCTTGTGTCCATGGCTTCTATTTTCTCCACCTGCAGAGGTATGAATAACTCGCGATTTCTACACAAGAAGTCTCCAAAGTTCATCGCTTGTGGTTCAAACGGCATGAGACGGATGAGGCCGTGAGCTCAAAATTGAGTATGCACTAATCTTTCGTTGTTCTGGAGTGGAACACTATAGATATATTTCAGGTAAGCTATGCATACGGTTGGCTGGTACAATAATCGATCAAACAAACTTCAAATTTACATACTCTTACGAGGCGGTTTTTTTATATTTTTATTTTTTATTGTTTAGATGCGTGGACGAGCTCGCAGCCTACCTGGTGTTAAGTGGTCACTGGAGCCCATAGACATCTACAACGTAAATGCGCCACCCACCTTGAGATATAAGTTCTAAGGTCTCAGTATAGTTACAACGGCTGCCCCACCCTTCAAACCGAAACGTATTACTGATTCACGGCAGAAATATGCGCGGTGGTGTTACCTACCCGCGCGGACTCACATAAGGTCCTACCACCAGTAATTACGCAAATTATAATTTTGCGGGTTTGATTTTTATTACACGATGTTATTCCTTCATCGTGGAAGTCAATCGTGAACATATTTGTTAAGTACGTATTTTATTAGAAAAATTGCAAAATTACAAATTCGAACACCGTTGCATCGCTAGATACAAATGCACCGGACGTCTTATCCTTCAGACCACGACGACATCTTCTTCTTCATCGTTCCCTAATTGCTGAGGATCGTGACCACATGTGATTTTCCTCCACAGTGTTCGATCATGGATATCATGGACCACATGCCACCAACCGCTTCCTTAAATGGCTGGCGTTCTGCCTGATAATCATCCACAACATACATCAAAATATTTATATTGTCTATGCAGTATACCTCACGGCTTGACATAGACGAGCATTTGTAGTACATGAGTTTTTGAAGAAAATTAATATAAAGCTTTTTGTCTGATTAACCTAAGTAAATAGATGGAGATACCTCACCTTAGATGGAGCACCAGGCAATTTAAACTGTCGATCGCCAGACCCCTTGGTCTTCTCAGACAGAGGCAGTTTTAATTCATCTTGCAATGTTTTCGGAGATTCTGTGATGCTTTTCCTATCCGCGGGTGCTCGATCTTTTGTAATGTATTGCTATTGAATTTATTTGTATTAGTTTTATTTTTTGACAAAGATAGTGATCGTGATCCTTATGCACTGAAAATTCAAAAAGAGCCTGGTATTCTGTGCAAATTTAAACCTTTTTTTTTACGATAGCGAACTTGGCGAGCAGATAAAATTCAACGCGACACATTATTATCTCTATCTGTCCCTGCTTCGTTAGTGCGAGCCATTTTAGGAATCTGAGGGCTTTGAATTAATTTGTGTATTGCGAGCCATGGACCATTTGGAAGTCACGTAAGTCACGTTCGACGCCCCGCAGTCTTCAGTGACGTAGGAGACCGTACTCGTATAGTTGTACTAACAATGAATTCAATTCATTGTCGTTATGTTATGGTACCTTCTACATTTTTCCTTGTCGACTTCGGGGACATTAAATCACAATATAAATGTTTTGGTTATTTTAAGCCTCTATAATGTTTTTTTAACGATGGTTGACGATCGTTGTTATAATATAATGTTTTGAACAGGTAGTCCGTCATCAAAGGTCAGAGGTTCTTCGTTACAAGTCAGTCTGATTTCACCAGAGGAATACATCTAGAGACTGTCTCTTTTGGGTTCCGCTAGAAGAGCTAACAGGTTTCAGCAAGAGTGTTATAATGACATTAGAACTGAAAGAAATAATTTGAATTTGAACGGCAATATCAAAGCTATTTGATATGAGTTCTAAGGTCTCAGTTGTAACAGTACAACGGCTGCCCCACCCTTCAAACCGAAACGCATTACTGCTTCACGGCAGAAATAGGCAGGAGAGTGGTACCTACCCGCGCGGACTCACAAGAGGTCCTACCACCAGTAATCACGCAAATTATAATTTTGCGGATTTGATTTTTATTACACGATGTTATTCCTTCTCCGTGGAAGTCAATTGTGAACATTTGTTAAGTACGTATTTCATTAGAAAAATTGGTATCCGCCTGCGGGATTCGAACACCGTTGCGTCGCTAGATACGAATGCACCGGACGTCTTATCCTTTAGGCCAGGACGTCTTCATGAAAAGAAGTTGTACTCGTTCAATCGAGACTTCAATCTAACATCCCAAGTTGGTTCACTGGGCAGCAAAGCTATGCACTTGTCCGCAGGCATTGAGTTATTGAAATTACTTTTTTTTAAGAGATTTTATGATCTGGTAACTAAGACCTTTAAGTCATGTCTTATTTTAATTTATATTGTTATATTTACTAAAAATTATAATATATGGAGTGAAATGAAATGAAATGAGGATGATTAATTTGAGACATTAATCAACTGGGATGAAATTAAATGAAATGAAATAAGATGAGATGATAAGGGATGAAATAAATCTCAGTGACCTCATAATGACCACCATTTTACTAAGATTAGTAAAATGGTGGTCATTTACCTACTGAGATTTTTTAGTGGACTTTTTGGAGGATCCCGAGAAGTTACGTCCAGTGGCTTAGTTTCAATTTCCCACATTTTTGCACTTTGACAGATACTAAACAGTTAATAAACCACCGTTATTACACATTTAATCCTGAAGAAACACTAGATAGACAAAATAAAACAAATTGCACACCTTCACTCCTCGCGTTCCCGCCAAAAAGTCCCATTGAAATAACACAGTTTGAGGGTAGTTGGTTCCTTACGTCTGGAACTTTCCACACGATGACGCATCCGGCGGAGCAGCAGCTGACGACGCAGTCTCCGGCGGGCGAGAACCGGCAGCACGTGACGGCGCCCGCGTGCGCCAGCCCCGCGTGCGTGTACACGCCCTCCTGGTAGCGCCACAGCTGCACACAACCACAACAACCGCGGTAGGCGGCGACTTGGCACTCGGTAGGCAGCGGCTTGGCTCTGCCTCTGGCAATGCTGCAGTCCATGGGCGACGGTAACCACTCATCATCGGGCCGTATGCTCGTCTGCCTACACAGGCAATAAAAAAAAACACCTTCACACTACTATATCGGTTTTTCTTACCTATTTTAGTAATCTCAAGAGGTTTTTTTGCTTAGATGTGTGGACGAGCTCACAGCCCATCTGGTCTTATGTGGTTACTGGAGCCCATAGACATCTACGACGTAAATGCGCCACCCACCTTGAGATAAGTTCTATCGTCTCAAGTATAGTTACAACGGCTGGCCCACCCTTCAAACCGGAACGCATTACTCTGCTTCACGGCAGAAATAGGCGTGGTGGTGGTACCTACCCGCGCGGACTTACAAGAGGTCCTACCACCAGTAAAATATATTATTCTAGATTCTCCGAACTAGTAGGTGAGCTCACGGGGCTCAAACCTGAAGACGTTGCTAACACGACCCCTAGCAAGAGCCGTGCTTCGCAGAATCTACCACCGGATCGGAAACGCGACCCACTGAGAAGATCCGGCGAGAAACTCAGTGGGCTGTGTCTGAGGGTTAATTTACTCGTCGAGCCCTTCGTCGCAAGCGACGGGTTCGACGAGAACGATGACCGGTGCTTGAGGTACCTAAAAGGACCGTTAGTGGATCGGGAGGATCCGAAATGACGTGTTTTGGGCGACGTCGACTGCTTTCCATTCTGTCCGCAGGATCGGGAATGAGTCGCTGACACGAATAAACGTGTATATATACTTATCGTTTTATTGACCGCTCCGATGAGATTCCCGTATGACAATACACACCACCATAGATAACCATGAAGTAATCTCACAAGAATAAATACCTTAACCATCTGATCATTCCCGCCGGTGACGAACAGTTCCCCGTCGCTAGATATATCGAGCCCGTTGATTGCGCCGGCTTTACTCGCTTCGAGCTGCCAATAAACTTAAGCTTAACTACACATAATGGTTACATAAATAAAACACCAAAAGATTTTGTTGTGAAATTTAGAGCGCGCCTAAAAATTTATAATGATCTAATAAAAAAATTATAGGTAGAGTCAAGGTAAGTCAATGCCATCACTGCTTTCCTGTCAAGCTACAAAAATGTCGCTTAAATAGCCTTTTACTCCTCGATGTGTGTTTTATTTAAAAGAGTATCTTCAACGTGAGTCCATTGATAAGTTCGATACATTACACTCTAGGTATTGTGGTGGGCAGCGGCTTGGCTCTGCTCCTGACATTGCTGAAGTCCATGGGCGACGGTAACCGCACACCATCAGGTGGGCCTTATGCTCATCTGCCTACAAGGGCAATAATACAAAAAAAACTAGCAGTCTAAATTAATTTAGTTTTATATTAAGGATGCGAGGTGTACTTCTCTGGCGAGGTTCCCGCTGGCCGTCTCCCAGTAGGCGACCCGGCGGTCGGTCCCCCCGGTGAGTAGCTGGCACCCTCGCGGCTCGAAGCACACACACATGAACAGCGTGTTCGCGTACATCACCTGCCTACGCGACAGCGACCTGCAGGACGATTGAGCACATCAACAATCTTTACACCGACAGGCATAGTCACGTACACCAGTCGTCGTGGCCTAAAGGATAAGACGTTCGGTGCATTCGTGTTGAACGATGCTCCGGTGTTCGAATCCCGCAGGCGGATACCAATTTTTCTAATGAAATACGTACATAACAAATGTTCACGATTGATTTCCACGGTGAAGGAATAACATCGTGTAATAAAAATCAAACCTGCAAAATTATAATTTGCGTAATTACTGGTAGTAGGATGTCTTGTGAGTCCGCGCGGATAGGTATCACCAACCTGCCTATTTCTGCCGTGAAGCAGTAATGCCGTTCAGTTTGAAGGGTCGGGCAGCTGTTGTAACTATACTTGAGACCACAGAACCTATATCTCGAGATGGGTGGCGCATTTACGTTGTAGATGTCTATGGGCTTCAGTGACCACTTAACACCAGGTGGGCTGTGAGCTCGTCCACCCAACTAAGCAATAAAAAAAAAGAACAATGTGAACTTCGTTCCTTAGGAGATATGAGTTCGCAGTCTCAATCGTGCCGAGTTAATGAATCACGATAGTCTGCAAAATATTATGATTATGATGGATATCAAGGACGTACCTACATATTTGCCTATAGTGCAATGGATAATGGTCGGTACACCCATTACACAGAATCTATACTCTATACTATAATATATAAATTTAGTGGTTTTTATGGATGTTCCGTTATAACTACTGAACCATGCATCCGATTGACTTGAAACTTGGTATCCATGTAGAAACTACACGTACTTAATGAATACGCTAATATTTATATGAGTGTTGGACTCCCTACACCAGTTGCGGGGGCGTCAATGATGAGAATCTTTGTAGGGGTGAGAAATAAAAATGTTAATTTTAAATGCCCAGCGAAGCGGACGGGTACAGCTAGTATTATTATAATATTTTATTTTTACTATTGATATCTCCAGTTGGTCAACTCACACGAGGTCCCATATGATGCAGGAGCCGTCGGTGCCGGCGCTGACCGCCTCCGTGTTGTTGGGCGACACTTGTATAGCGGACACGGGGGACTTGTGCTCTTTCAGCACCTTCTTCAACGTCTGACTCTCGGGCCTTATGTCCCACACTCTCACCTGACAAAGATTTTCGACAGTCACAAACCTCACGTCACGCGCTTGTGTCTGCGTCACACGTGGTCGTGGAGACACGAATTCCACCCGTCAACCTATCTCAATTTATGTTACACTAGCGACCCGCCCTCGCTTCGCTTCGGAAACATTAAAACACACATGAAACCAAAAATATAAAAAAAAAAAAATTAAAAAAAGTAGCCCATGTTCATCAGGGACAATGTCGGCTTCTAATGGAAAAAGAATTTTTCAAATCGGTCCAGTAGTTTCGGAGCCTATTCGAAACAAACAAACAAACAAATCTTTCCTCTTTATAATATTAGTATAGATTGCGTGCTGTACAAAAAACAGCAATGCAATCTATATTAATACGTGAAGCAAAAATGTTGTATCGCTTTTTACAAAAATTACGCGGATGGAGGAGTATGAAATTTCCCACACTTATATAGAATATAGAGAGCGAGTGTAGAATCTTAATACTTTTTTTTTAATTATGCATAAAATATATTATAACAATAACTAAAAACATTACACATACTAGCATGTATTTGATACACACACGCATGCATACTATTTGTTTACTGTCAAACTTTTCATATTGCATATAGTCTGTGGTCAATTTGAGAATAGATTAAATATATGACCTAAAGTTCACTGTCACCAGGTCATAAAAAAAAAAAGATTAAATATTGTTTGTCTTTATATTTGTCTAAAGTGTAGACTTGGCGAAATCTGTGATTATAGAAGTGTAATAGTCTTTGACAATAGAGTTATAATNAAAAAAAAAAGATTAAATATTGTTTGTCTTTATATTTGTCTAAAGTGTAGACTTGGCGAAATCTGTGATTATAGAAGTGTAATAGTCTTTGACAATATAGTTATAATAGTGTACAAGCTTATAATTTCAATTATAATTATAGTTGACTACCAGGGGACAACTAATAATATTTATTAGTTCTTTTAATTCTCTGGTATCATCAGCACTACTCCTCCAAGACTTCATTTTTGGAAACGATTGCCTTCTAAGCGACACACACTGACCTGTCCCTCGCATCCACCAGAAATTAGAGTCCTGCCGTCATTAGTCATGTCCAAGGCCGAAGTGCCTTTATTGTGCGTGTTGTAGATGCAGTACATCAGTCGACCGGTAAGGGGAGTGAACGCTCTTATGTTACCGTCGTTCCATGCTGGAAGACATTAGTACAAAATATTATGCCCGAATTCTCTTCTTTAAAATGAAAAACATTTCATAAAATCAGATAAATAATTTATGGTACTACCTCTGTGTGTGTGGTGGTAGGACCTCTTGTGAGTCTGCGCGGGTAGGCACCATCATCCTGCCTATTTCTGCCGTGAAGCAGTAAATGCAGTAATGCGTTTCGGTTTGAAGGGTGGCGCAGCCGTTGTAACTTAGACTAATATCTCAAGGTGGGTGGCGGCTTTACGTTGTAGATGTCTACGGGCTGCAGTAACCACTTAACACCCGGTAAGCTGTGAGCTCATTCGCAAATCTAAGCAATAAAAAAAATATTGAAGAATTCATATATGGTAAAAATGAACAGTTCTGCAATAGAAGAATAATATACATGTGTATTCGAACTCGAAAATATAAAACAGTGGATATTCAACCTTATGCGTTTAATTTACTAGTTGAGATGTGCAATAGATCCTTTCTTATTTATTAATTGAGATGGCTAGAGGAGCTCACTGACCCCAAGAAAACGACATTAGGCTTCTTTTTTTTTTAAACTAACATTTTAGCGCGCGCTATTCTTTCCATTTACTCTATAATAAAAGTTTTTCAAAGGCAATGGTCAAATAAGAAAACGAATTACCGGAAACAATAGACTTGCCGTCCCCGGAGAACAGCAGAGCGGAGCACGTGAAGTTGGGCACCACGATCCTGAGTAGCTCTTGGCACGTGTCGCGAGCCCACACGCGCACGTCGCCCGCGCCGCCCGTCGCGAACACGCCCGACATGCCTCTGCGGTCACACCTCAGTCTGTCCCGCTCGCACAGTCGCAACGCGGGCGTTACGGCGATCACATTACCAGCACTTTACGATACAATTACACTGCATACTCAGAAGTGATTCCACTACAACCAGTCTTGTGAGATTCGGAATCGACTTTACATTTTTAATTTCGTCCTATGTAATAGTAATAGTAATAGTCGTAGTAATAGTGTCGTTCAGTGATTTTCTCCCATCAACAGCCTATTAACCTTGTGAGTCCGCACAGGTACGTACCATCATCCTGCCCATTTCTGCCGTGTAGCAGTAATGCGTTTGGGTTTGAAGGGTGGGGCAGCCGTTGTAACAATACTGAGACCCTTAGAACTTATATCTCATGGTGGGTGGCGCATTTACGTTGTAGATGTCTATGGACTCCAGTAACCATTTAACACCAGGTGGGCTGTGAGCTCGTCCACCCATCTAAGCAATAAAAAAGTCTTGCTGTTATCAACAGATGGCGCTTAGGCAAAATAAAAATAATAAAAATCTTACGTTACGGACGTTTTTCCCGGTTAGAGTACCCCTCCGCATCGTCCCATAAGGAACTTCGTTCCAAAACATTGCATTTTTATCGCAATCACGGAAATATGTGACTATTTTACAAACCCGACAATATAACAAACCCTCTAGTATTGCAAGAAAAAACTTCACCTGGGAAAAGCGATGTCGTTGATGGCGCACCGATGGCACGTGACCACGAGGGCGGGAGCGAACGTGCCGATGTCTATGGCGTATATCTCGCTGGTCCTCGTGCCGGCGAGGAGGAGACGCTTTGCGCCTTGGAGCTTCGGTGACTCCATCAACTCCAACGATGTGATGCTCCCCTCTAATTTTGTTGTTTTCAACTGGCAATTGAGAAGGCTTTTTGTTAGGGATTCTAGAATACGCACAGGCGTGGCTATCAGCGAGTGTTCTGGGGCTAGAAGGTATAATGACCAATGTGTTCGGATCGAGTGATTTCTCTTTTTCTGTTTAAGTATGTACCTATCCGACGCGAAGTAATCCTGACCCGTCATGAAGGATAGGATAGGATATCGTATAATCAAATGAAACCCAAAACAAATGACAATCTGTTTACTAGTATTTAGTTGGGGGTATTATGAGCGCGCATGGTTAGGTGCTACTTTCTTGCCTATTATTGCCGCCGGGTATTTGTACTCTCCGCTGAAACCACTTAACATCAAACAAGGCTGTGAGTTCAACCGACCTACTGGACATGACAAAAAATAAAATAAAAAACTTACAGCCTTAAAGTGCGGTATATTCGGATTCAATATCTTGCCTTTGGGGAAGCTGCCCTTCCAGTTTATTTCGTCCAGGATGTCGATGGTGCCATCTCCGGCGCCAACAATCAAACAACCGTCGTCCATTATCAGAATCGATTCTATTCCTACGGCATAAGGAACAGTTTTTCCGTGCAACCATTACAAACAATTGAAACATAGGCAACATAAAAACTGATTATTCAGAAGGCATTTCTTCAGAGCTACTTTTTTTACCTATTCTAGTAACTTCGAGGGGTTATTCTAGATTAATTGAATTAGTAGGTGACCTCACGGGGCTCAAACCTGACAATGCTGCTAACACAGACACTAGCACGAGCTATGCTTCGTAGAATCTACCACCGGATCGGAAACGCGGCCCACTGAGAAGATCCGGCGAGAAACTCAGTGGGTTGTGTCTGTGGGTTAATTTACTTGTCGAGCCCTTCGTCGGAAGCGACGTGTTCGGTGAGAATACTTTCGATATTACCCAGTAATGCGTGTGGTAGTGTAGTAACAACTTGCTCCCTCTTACTTAAGTAGGTAGGTAGTAAAGGCAGTGAATATTGCGAGTCCGCAGGGGTAGATTGCGACTACCCCACCACCTATCTGAGTAGCCTAATATTTATGCGTTCCGGTTATAAAGGTGGGAATTATTTCTTAACGATTGGGAGGTCAGCTATTCTAAGAATAATGCGAAAAGAAAGAAAAGGAATTGTCGAAATAAATGAAAGTATATTATAAGTTTGTGGATAATATTGATTGATGCCTTTTTGTACCTTGACTATAGCAAATTGAATCCGGTTTCCTGCCTCTCTTCCACGGACCACATTTAGCCAGACACCCCAGTAGCGCCGGCTTGCAATGGGCGATGGAAGCGAAGGGGTCAGGCGGGTAATTTATGGAGAACTTAATCATGTCACCCGTGCTATAGAAATCACAAATTACACAAATATATAGGATACCTACTTATAATTCTCAGAGTTTAATATTAAATAATATCAATTATACGATGATGGTATTTTGACTTTGATATCTTCTGCATAATAAATTCAAAAGTTGTAGTTCGCCTTAAATGGATATGACAATTGAGGCCGTCAGCGCAAAAGTGGCCTAAGCTTAACATAGTTATTATGGAGCAATGAGCTTTAAGTTTTCATGAGTTTGAATTTAAAAAAACAATATTTGCAAAAATTATGTTTACAAAGCCATCTGCTATCTATGGGTGAAACCATGGATAGGCCGGTTTTGCTTCAAAATTGATTATATTTTAAATAAATTTAAATATACATATCAGCATGATTATGAAAAATTGTGGGTTAGGCCATTTTTGCACTGACGGCCTAATTGGAAGTTGATATGTTAGGACAAAGAGTCTGAAGATAAGAGCACTTTGAGGTAAAAGGTCGTTTAAGGTTTTAGTGAAACACTCAATTTTTTTCTTTTTTTTTGTCTTACATTTTTTACCACAAGATGCAGTCGATCAATTGCGATTAATAAAAAAAGATAAGAATGATTAAGGGAGTCGAATTATAAAGATCTGAGAAATATGATAAAATGATTTAAAAAAAACGAGCAGTTCGATTCTTCTAATATTCTCTGGATGAAACCACAACCGTAAAACTAAAACTCACGTAGTACCAGCGTATCCGAAAGCGTCGTCCCTGCTGATGGCGATGCAGCGGACGGTTCTGCGCAGTTTGCCCAGAGACACGTCCACAACGTCCAAGTTCTTGCTCTCCGCGCGAATGTTCCACACGCGGAGGTTCGCTGAAAGAAAAAAATGATGTGTGGTGTCGTGGGACACCGGATAGGAACGAAGTTCCTTATTATAAACATATTAATTTAAAGTTCTATTCGAGGTATAAAGAAAATAAAACTGGAGGTTTCGTAACAGCGGTCATTCGGTAACGTGCGAGCTTATTGTGGTACACTTCATTCACGGCTGTTTGCATAAGAGTTAGTGTATTGCGCAAACGAACGCTCTGAGATCGTGGCAATGAATGATAAAAAGGATGAAGGAAATAACCGGTGTTCATTGTTGATGGTGAGATGCTTTGGGCCTTATTTTAGCATTACATTGCACCATCTCATATCATGACACGCCGGGCCTGCTGTCTTGGGTGTACTAGCAGTCGATCTTCGTCTGGAGAATCTGTCCTGCCAAATGCATGACAAAGCGGTCCGAACGGAACGTTAGCCGTTAAACTGATAAAATTCCTACTTTGTTTCACGTCACAACGTTGGATTCGAAGTATAGAAGATGAAGGATCCGTCACCATTACATCACTAAAAAATTGCGATTACCACCACTCTCTCTAAGACACGAGGTAGAAATCTCAGTTACGTTAAAAGATCAAGTATGTTCCATGGGGAGTGCTCTGGGGAGTTGTTTGATGATTCCATCATCTCGTTTTTACCATCGTACCGCCCGCCACCAGAGTAGAGTTCATCTATACTACCTGGAGCCACTGCGGTCATCCACAGTGCGTTTCCAGAGATCTTTTTTGCCACGAACCACCCGGCTTTGGAATGAGCTCCCCTCCACGGTGTTTCCCGAGCGCTATGACATGTCCTTCTTCAAACGAGACTTGTGGAGAGTACTTAACGGTAAGCAGCGGCTTGGCTCTGCCGCTACTAGCATTGCTGAAGTCCATGGGCGACGGTAAGCACTCACCATCATGTGGGCCGTAGGCTCGTCTGCCTACAACGGCAAAAGAAAGCTCGCCTATTATCAATGTATGATTGTTTTGCAGCCGGAATAGATGGCATGATGTGTCCATGTGTTTGCCTGAGTCAAAAGCCTGGGATAATTTCAAAAGATACGTTTAAGACTCACAGTCTCCTCCAGTAACATAAGAATTAGCTCTCAAATTCAATGCTGTCAGGGTTATGGCATCTCCAGTTGTGAGTTTGGCAGCGGCTGCCGTACCAGTGGCGGCTCCAGCCAGACAGTCCCACAGTACCACGCAGCCATCGTCCCGCCCACCTAGAGATATCATGTAGCGCTCGTCAGAGGAGAACGTTAGGGCTTCCACGCGCACCTGAGGATATGTAGCTTGATGGGTACTTTCATTTGATTGAAAAATTATATATCTTCATGAGGTTATAAATTTGGAATTCTCAAATAAATGTATTGAAAAAGTTACGACTATTGTGATTTATGTATTAAAAAATAAAGGACTACTTATTGTGCCCTCTTTTGTTTGTATTTTTTGATCAATGTCAACTTAATATTGAAATATTATACTTCTAAACTCAAGTTCACTCAATGTTAGGGAAATAAGGTGAAGAAAATATAAAGATTAATAGACTCTAATGAATTACTTTGTGCAACTCATGACTGCCGACTTGCACCCGTTTGTTGAAGTCCCACACTTTTGCAGACGCTTTAAATCCTATATGATTAATTTGACCAGATCCTACGTAGGTTCCTTTTGGGGAAATTGCTACAGTCGACACGCTGTTGGAATGTCCGCTGAGGAAGTACATCTTTTTTGTCTTCCACTCTTGGATGCAAACTTTGTTGCCCATTGGGTACACGATATGTTCGCAATCTGGATGGATCTTAAGGCCTCTGATTGCTGAACCTGGCGAGTAAGAATTTCTTAATTATTTGCGGGTAGTGTTGATGGGTGGGCAGCTTATGGCCCACCTGGTGCTAAATGGTTACTGAGGCCCATAAGTATCAACAACGTAAATGCGCCACCCAGTTTGAGACATGAGCTCTAAGCCTCAGTTTTATAGTATAACGGCACACCCTTCAAATCGAAACGCATTTCTGATTCCCGGCAGTAACAGGCCGGGTGCTGATACCTACCTGTGCCGGATCACAAGACGCTCTACAACCAGTAAGTATTTTAGTATGTGTGTCAAATCAGTTTAAGCCGCGAATGCTACTGAAGTCCCAGACGCAATGTGAATTTTTGTAATAGCTTAAATCCTACACCCTCCATTTCATTGTTATCATGCGGCTTATGATAATATTATTGCTTAACCGTGAAAAGATTTTCGTGTTAGGTACGTTTTTCTAGCCTTCACGGTATTGCCTAGGCTGTGACATGTCCTATATTGGAATAATTAGTGCCCACGAGGCCGACTAGTATGCAGCCCATATTTTGGTGGGTGATTAGTGTTGTCTATTATCATTGCCAATGGTAGGTTGTCGGAATACTGCCGCTGCTCTCGATTTCTGGTAGTTATAGGAAACGAAATTAATTCAATGATTATTAAGTTGTAGGCCGATGTATCATAAAGACTATAACACGCTTAGGAAGCTATCGCTCCTAATTAGCTTGTGATGTTTATTGTGTGCCTAATAAATAAATAAATAGATCTTACCATCGAACCCAATGATGCCGTAGGCTTCTAAATTTTTCACTTCCGAGGCCATTTTTCAGTATAAATAAAAACAACAAAAGCCAAAAGCAACCGTTAACTGGCCGAATGGCATAATGGGTAAACAACGCGTCGCTATGGTAACGGTCACGCAGTTAGCTTCACAGTGCTAAAGTCATATAGCTTTATCGGCACCGAAGTATGAAACCTATTTGTCGTCCATGGTTTGTTTGACATCTATATTTAATTATTAAGTGTATTCTCTAAGTGTATAATCTATGCTCTATGATTCTATACAGGTCGTCTCACAACAGGTGTATTTAAACTGAAACTTTTGCTATAGTATCGACAATGCGGATCATGCTGAAAATGTTAAAAAAATATGTCATCATTAGTAGTTTCATACAAAATCTAATTTATTAATTGTTTTCAATGTTTGACATCCCTGAATTTATACAACAAAAATACCGTTAGCCAATTTATTCAGTTACACCCGTCAGAACGAGATAGGCAATAACAAATACGTTCAACTCATTTCAAACAATGAATACGACAAAAAATGCAAACTAACACAAACATCCTTCAAATCGTTCTATCACATTTTTGTAGGATAGCCGTCGGAGCACCGTGTTTTGTGAGAAATGTGGATCTTCACGACGACCTGGAACTCGATTCCATCAATACCTACGTATTTAAATTCAAAGTCAGTGCGCTATTTCGTGAAGACGACATGACACTATAACCTTATTATCGTGACTGCCGGTAACTACATAACCAAACCTGCGGACCGAACGGTAAACAGTCGCCGTCACCAAATACACGTCATTTCGGATCCCCCCGATCCACAATCGGTGCTTTTAGGTAGCCCAAGCATCGTCCACTGTTCTCGTCGAACTTTTGAAGATATACGACAAAGGCAAGATCTTCCACCGAGCGGGTGATATTGATCGGTAGACCGACGGTCCTATGGTTGTTGTTCGGAACTTGTATATGCAAGCTTATCTTGAAAATGTCGTAAGCGAGATTCAGGCATTTGTCTCATTTCTCGTCTTGTATGATGGCTATCCGCCACAAATTCGTCGAATGCGACGAAGGGTTCGGCGATTAAATTAACATTCAGAGACAGTCCACTGAGTTTGTTGCCGGCTTTCTCAGTGGGTCGCATTTCCGATACGGTGGTAGATTCTGCGAAGCACTGCTTTTGTTAGGGCTAGTGTTAGCAGGTTAGAGCCACGTGACCTCACCTACTCGCTCAGGGAATCTAGTAGGTATAACCCCTCGAGGCTACGAGAATAAGTAGCAAAAAAACAACAAAACAACTATAGGTACTGCGGTTACGGTAGATAAACTTCTGTAAATTTAAAGCTTATTACGGCGAATCTTACTAAATTTTACCTTTATTGAAAAGTCAAAAGAAGCTGTTTGACATATAGACAGTCACATAATTTTTTTAGTATGTATTTCGTGCGTTGAACCTGGGTATATTAATCTTTGTAAGATAAAAGTGATTCCAATTTTCACTTACGTCACCTCGATGTAAAAGATACAGATAAGATGAATTCATTAAATCCTTTTTACTGGTACGGGTAGGTACCACCACCCTGCCTATTTCTGACATGAAGTAGTAATGGGTTTCGGTTTGAAGGGTGGGGCAGCCGTTGTAACTATACTGAGATCTTAGAACTCGAGGTGGTGGCGCATTTACGTTGTAGATGTCCATGGGCTCGAGTAACCACTTAACACCAGGTGGGCTGCGAGCTCGTCCGCCCATCTAAGCAATAACAAAAAAAATTTTTATTTTTATTTTTTATTGCCTTTGTAGGCAGACGGGCATACGGCCCACCTGATGGTGAGTGGTTACCGTCGCCCATGGACTTCAGCAATGCCAGGGGCAGAGCCAAGCCGCTGCCTACCGCTTAATACTCTCCATAAGCCTCGTTTGAAGAAGGACATGTCATAGCGCTCGGGAAATACCGTGGAGGGGAAGCTCATTCCATAGCCGGATGGTACGTGGCAAAAAAGATCTCTGGAAACGCACTGTATCCTTCGATATCGCAGAGATAGTGGCTATTTAGCAGAGAAAAAGTTTTTAGTGTGCGCTCTCAATTCGTACGACCAATATTAATACACACACACACACGACGTTATGAAAGACGATATGTGTAAGAGGGGAGTCAGCAAAAAAGGTATATGAGTATGGAAGGGGAAAACATGTTGCGCTGTCCCCATGTGCCTTAGAGAAGGGTAGGAGAATGATGATGATGAATATTAATAAGTTTACTTCCTGGTGGTACTGAGTGTTGCTAAAGCGTGATTGAGCACATCCTACTTATTTCTGCCATGAAGCAGCAATGCGTTTCGTTTTGAAGGGTAAGGCTGCAGTTGTACTGTAAAACTGAGACCTTAGAACTCATGTTTTAAGGTAGGTTGCGGTATTTACGTTGTCGTTGATCTCTATGGGGTCCGGTAACCACTTAACACCAGGTGAGCCATGAGCCCTATCACCCAGCTAACCAATGAAAATAAAATGAAAAATATATTTTTTATGTGTTCTCTTGATTTACCTTTTTTGGGATCCCTATATGTTTTTTTTTTATTGCGGTGGGCCGTATGCTCGTCTGCCTACTTCAGCAATGCCAGGGGCAGAACCAAGCCGCTGCCTACCGCTTAATACTCTCCACAAGCCTCGTTTGAAGAAGGACATGTCATAGCCCTCAGGAAACACCGTGGAGGGGAGCTCATTCTCACTCTTCAACAATGCCATATATTGTGGTGCCGTGTTGTTGTTTCAATAGGCCTCCGACTGAATCCTAATTATTATCCTACTAATCATAATTTAATTAGAAAAAAAAAGTGTATGCACAGTCAATTCAAATAAAACAAATCAAATGAAATATACCAGTCTCTTTATTTTGAATGTCTATCTGAAACATCCGAATTTTGTTTGTAAAAGTATTTATGGACATCTTCCTATGAAATCCTAAAATTAAACCTACATTAGATCTTATAATCATAACGAAAAGTATGGCAGCAAACATATACAATGTTTTTGAAGATGGTAAAATTATCTCCAGAGTTTCAATGTCAAAAACTGAGTAGCCCTCAAAAGAAACAGAATTCGCATTTTATAATCGGTAGGGGCATCCTAATGGTTGTGCCTATAGGGTTGTCATGTGGCCTCATAGAAACACACAGCAAAGAAGTATAAAAAGGGAACTTCTACAGAATTCCTGTCAATGATACATTTCAATTTTAGCTATATTAATCCATAATCTTATCCTTAGGTTTCATATAAGCAGGTATTATATTCAATAAATATCTGGCCATAATAATGCAAAAACTCACATGTTGCATTTACCAAGGTCAAGGTCAGCAAGTAGAGGCATGTTTTATAAACCAAGAATTAATTTATGATATGATCATTCTACATAATAATGCAAGTACATTTCAAGTTTGGTAGTCCATAGTGAAATCTGTTCTATGTTTTCAATGTTGTTTTAAGGTTTCAATACAAGTACGTCCAATAAGACTCTCCCAAAGTTTTTCTATACTTTTCGATAACGTTTTAACATCTCTTGTCAGCCTGTAATAGTTTATTTGTCTTATTTCCTTGCTAAGCATTTTCTTTGGATTGATTTAGCCTTTTTGTCAATTTTTTCTTTGGCAATCTCACCAATCTGTTTTGTTTCATTAATCATATACTGTTTTATAACTGATAGATTCTCAGAAAGCTGAAATTAATAGAAAATTTGTTTTTGATATGGTTTTAACAAAAAATGAGCCACTTTATTTGTGTAAAAGTGAGTGTGGACAATCTTTATATTTTTGATCAAATTTGGCAATTATGACAAACGTGAATATTGTGTGACAAATACTTACTAATAAGTCATCTTCTTTCTTTCCGAGTTGTACAAATGCGCACTGAGCGGCGTGGCTCTTGTGTTCGATCCATGGATCATCAGTGGACTCCCAGCCATCTAGTTCTTTCCCACATAAGAAGCATTTTGCTGCATCGGCGTCTTCAACACCCGTTGCTACGCTATAAAAACCTGCCTCTGCCATATTTCGCACGTTACACTTGTTCTTGTCATTGAAAGGCCAATTTTTGAAGGTTTTGATTCTTTCTTCTACCAGAAATAGTAAAGAGCTCTCGTTCTCCATTTTATGCTATGTTTAATATTAGGACAAGTAAAACTGAGTAATGGTAAACATTGAATAATTATTATTTTATGGTAAGTTCAACCGATTAAAGAATAAAAGTAAATAATCAACCTAATCTTCCAGTCATAAATTTAACGGCATAAAATGTTTAAATTTATTCAAACGTCACATTGAATTCAAAACTTCAAAGAAATCAAAACAAAAAGTTTGATGCGTTTTATTCTTGTTTCTCGATGAAACTAATATTTTCCTAATTTTATTGTTTTTGAAAGACTAAATAATATTAAAAGTTTAATAATATTGTTGCGATAAAATTAATTTAATATTTTTCTGATTTATTTTATTTTTCTTGCATAAAGAAAATTTTGACACTGTAGGGCTCTTTGCCGATGCTTTAATAAAACGTTTTTATCTTATCTGTGGTTTCGAAATTATTCGGTCTTGGGTTTCAGTCAGAGCTGTAGACGTTTGAAGACTTATGGAGGATTTTAATCGATTTGTATGAGAACAAAATTTTGTTACAAAACCAGTATTACAAGCTGTTTTTTGAAATACTCGTAAGTATTAATTTTCATAATAAAATTTACATTTTAATGTTGAGGGCTTACTTTATTTATACTTTTAAAAATCATTCAAAACGATTATTCAGAAATCGATTTAGATTTCGAATCGATTGAAAGCGCAGCACGGGTTTGCCAGTTCAAGCTATTCATTCATTCGATGTGTTCTTAAAAAGTTGTGCTACGATCGTTCGCTATTAGCTGCTTGTTTCATTCGCTGTTCGTCGTTCAGACTGTAATCACGGTTGTTAGATCTGATTGTTTTGCACTGATTCCGCGTAAGTCTAGACTTTACTCTCGTTACTCTATGAAATCAGTGCTTACGTCGTAATTAATCAAATACAGCACGATTAAATCGGTTAACTCAAACGATTTGTAATCTTAGATATATCAGCGCAATCGTAAAAACGAATAAAAGTGCCTAAGAGTAAAGTTCGTAGAAGGTTTTTGTTCTATTTTACTTCGCCTTTCTTGTTATAATTTAGTGATTTTGTGATATTTGCGGTTTCGGCGATGGTCCGAGGTGTTTTCTAGCATCGACCAGATACATAAAGCAATTTGGTGAGTATTATTATCAGATCACTTTTCAAAAAAAGTTTAATGTTACCAAAGTTATATGTTTTATCTTCCTAAATGCGTATACTATGCAAATCAACTTTTACCAGTCGCATGGTATTGAATAAACACACTTATTACGTAATTTGGTATATCTAATTATATTACCGTGTAATCTAATTATAATTATAAGATTGTGTTTAAAATTAGTAGCCTCGTTTTAGTTTTATTATTTTCTTTGTTTACGCACTATGTCACTGAACTGTGCTATGTTTATGCATCTATTTTAGTGGGTATTATTAAAGTTGTTACAATCTAAATCTATAGATTTACTAAATATTATAGTAAATACTTCACACATTTATTCCTATTTTATTTAAGTTTCGTACGTTTTGAAATATTATGAAAATTATTTAGGGTTTTATTTCTTATTCAAACAACATCGTTAAAACTTAAAAATACAGATTGAAAAACGTTGTTTTTTTTTTCATATTAAGTAAATATTTGATATGATACATATTTTATTGATACTTATTTAGATACGTACAACAAGACTGAATTTAACTATTCGCGAACATAGAAGTAGGTATTATTACTCGTAAGTATTTGAAAATCTTAATAATCAACTGTAATGGAATGTAAAGCGTCATAAGAAGCCACGCTAGTGAGCGCGAGTCACGCTGCGGTGGTGCTCGTCGTCTCAAAAATCAATACGAAGTTTGGGGCATAATATCCTCACGGTGACTTCATCATCGGGGCAACCCTAGTCGCGTGGACGCGCTTTTATTTGCCACGTTGCTACTTTAACTAAGTATTAGAAAAGGTTTGCTGAAGTGTTTCAAAACTAGACTAGGTCAGAATTCTTATAAGTTAGAACTGTGTATTATTTGTTCTGATTATTCGATAGTCCAACGATACGTTCTGAAGTTAAGCTGCTACCGGAATCTGTAAGCCACACAGTGAGAATACCACTACTAATCTTGTAACATGAGGTCGAAATCTAAATTTTTTTTTATTGGTTAGATGGGTGGACGAGCTCACAGCTCACCTGGTGTTAAGTGGTTACTGGAGCCTATAAACATCTACAACGTAAATGCGCCACCCACCTTGAGATATAAGTTCTAAGATCTCAGTATAGTTATAACGGCTGCCCTACCCTTCAAACCGAAACGCATAACTGCTTCACGGCAGAATTAATTGTATTGTTTTGACTGTTCCACTATTTACAACCGAACGTACGACTACTGCGCGGCAGAAATAGGCGCGGAGTATCAACCACGTGAGGGAGTATCCATAACATGACCAAGAAGTTCCTGCTTGTGGCAAAGTCTACGTAATTACAGGATATACTTGGCAAGACTGATCACAGGGAAGCGGTAATAAAATAAAACGGGGCCGTAATCTTAATATTTAAGATGATTTCATCATAGTCGGTTACTCTTGGCAGAGCAGTCGTGCCCATGTGGAATTCTTGTTTATTAAAGTCTTGACAGATGTTCTCCATAGTTTGCGAACTGAGGCTTGGCGCACGCACTCGTTAAGTGGGACTTTAGTAAGGTCTTTCACCTGATCAGCGCGTGGGGCTTCGTCCATGACATATTTTACCATTGACCCTACCCTGAACAACGAGTTTATCGATAGACTCTGCTGGCCGTCGCGATGATTTACGCAAACTTAAAAAGTACACTCTTAAACAAAACGAGGCGGATATGTAAGGAAACCGCGAAGTATAACATGAAGAACTTTCGAGTTCCCCTATACACGTTACGGTCCGCAGACATGGAATAGAATATCGATATGGGTTGATGTTTCGAAATCTGGCCCTAAGTTCGAACTGTTTTAAAGCTAGACAAATCTGCGAAAACTAAGTTGAAAGTAAGAAATTACATCCCATATTAAACAAATACTGACCGTATTGAAATTAATTAAACCTGTGTAATTATTCTAAGATTAAACCTTACGAGTGCATTGCAATATCATTTACATAGTTTAATTTCTAAGGTACATATTACGTCCTTAAACAAGATATTGTACATTATTAGTACGCAAAATCCTAAAAATACAAAGAAAGTGAAACCTCTTTGTGAAAGTAACGTGAATCTGAAAAGAACACAGATTTTTTGAAAGATGGAGTAAAGCAGAGAGCTTTGTCAGTGGAACCATATCGCTATCTCTCTCGGACGGCCCCACAGTAATGGCGGTGACCTTCTGAACGATTTGCATTATTGTTACTTACAATCCCCTCATTACTAGTTTGAAATGGTTATTAACCTAGTCTTTTCTGGCACGTATTTATGTTATTCCTGATATTTCAAATTTTGTATTCTAAGAGAAAAATTTACGATAAAACTATTGTTAATACTCATAAAGTAGTTTAATAATTGTAAAACTCGCTATGCCTTTGAATCGGTTTTCGCGTTTCTGCGTAAATCTGCGTGTAATGGCGACGGAAGTGTGTTAAATGAATGTAAATGCATTTTGGTATTAAGCTCTGAGCATGTAGTTCAATATTATCAAAAAAAAACATCATGTGTTCTTCCGAGGCATTTAACAATGAAACGAGAGAATTTTTTTTTTATAGCTTAGATGAGTGGACGAGCTCACAGCCCACGTGTGGTGTTAAGTGGTTACTGGTGCCCATAGACATCTACAACGTAAACGCGCCACCCACCTTGAAATATAAGTTCTAAGGTCTCAATTATAGTTACAACGGCTGCCCCACCCTTCAAACCGAAAGGCATTACTGCTTCACGGCAGAAATAGGCAGGGTGGTGGTACCTACCCGTCCGGACTCACAAGAGGTCCTACCACTAGTAATTACGCAAATTATAATTTTGCGGGTTTCATTTTTATTACACGATGTTATTCCTTCACCGTGGAAATCAATCGTGAACATTTGTTGAGTACGGAAATACGTACTCAACAAATGTTCACGATTTACACGCAAAATTATAATTTGCGTAATTACTAGTGGTAGGACCTCTTGTGAGTCCGGACGGGTAGGTACCACCNTAATTACGCAAATTATAATTTTGCGGGTTTCATTTTTATTACACGATGTTATTCCTTCACCGTGGAAATCAATCGTGAACATTTGTTGAGTACGGAAATACGTACTCAACAAATGTTCACGATTTACACGCAAAATTATAATTTGCGTAATTACTAGTGGTAGGACCTCTTGTGAGTCCGGACGGGTAGGTACCACCACCCTGATGAAATAATTAGAAAAATTGGTACCCGCCTGCGGGATTCGAACACCGGTGCATCGCTCAACACGAATGCACCGGACGTCTTATCCGTTAGGCCACGACGACTTCAAAATGTTTGCAATAGAACCGAATTATAAATCTATACTTAATATTATAAAGCTGATGAGTTTGTTTATTTGTTTGAACGCGCTAATCTCAGGAACTGCTGGTCCGATTTGAAAAATTCTTTCAATTTTAGATAGCCCATTTATTGACGAAGGCTATAGGCTATATAACATCACGCGGAGACTAATACAAACGGAGCACCAATAAAGAATGTTGCAAAATCGGGGTTTTGAGAGCTTCCGCTGCGTGTGCTGCGGAAACGGTTAAGGTTTCGCTAAAATAATATATGACAGACGTAAAAGTTTAAAAATTTAAAAGTTTAAAAAAAATCCGCGACAGCATGTGTTTATATGTTGAGGTTGACTCACTATAACGTTTTTTATGCTAACCAAATTTGTTCTAAAATAAAGCATTATTTGTGAAGGTGTTTTTATGAAGATGATAATATTAATCCCTATCGAAATGAATACGTTATTCATTACAAGTATTTAATTTTAAAGAAATTTACCCACACTTGATTTTAATGAGTATCTCGCTATGAGTATTTTAATGAGTTTATGAAGATATCGCAGGTTTAAAATAAAATCGCAGCAAAATAAGGATCAAGCGCGTAATATTGATGTACAAGGCGCCGGCCGGCCGGTGCGCGGCGGCACAGAATAAGAACAATAACAAGAAACACCCAAATCACTTCAAGATATGCTTTCAAAATTATAGATTTTTGTGGATTTCTCTAGGATTCCATCATCAGGTCTTGATGATTACAGGACAATTCCGAGAAAGAGAATTATCAGAATCGGTTCAAGCATTCTCTAAAAATCTGTGAACATACATAGATAAAAAAATTGTGGTCGAATTAATAGCCTCCTCTTTTGAAGTCGGTTAAAAGCGTGATTTTGTTACCTTAAATAGCTCCTTAACATTCTATTACTCAAAAATATTTCCACTTTTTACGTAAATGAAGTCGCGGGTAAAATTTAACGTTATGCCAAAGTAACTAGGTATTCCACGCGGACGAAGTCGCGGGCAAAAGCTAGTTTAATAATGTTTGTCTTCTATGCGTTCACGATTTCGATAACATTTGATACTTCACGGAAGTATTTTTGTCATAGTATCATTATCGTCGGACATGTGGCGAATATAAAGTTTGACTGATAGGTGAAATATACAAAAACACATACGGTGTTTTGTTTTACCTGATATAAAATTTCACATTTGTTATTTGCCTGTTTGTATGTTTGTTCGTTCGAGCATCTCGCGAAAACTATTAGACCAGCTTCGATGAAGCATTTTGTAAATGATAATGATATAAAAAGTGATATAAATATTTTTGATATCGCCACAAATTTAAATCAATTACCAAATATCTTTAAAGCCATTATCCATATGTAATTAGATATATCAATCCTAGATATTATTATTATGCAATGCTTCGATCAATAGTAGTATTATTGATCGAAGATGCAATGCCAATTTTTAAGGTACCTCGCCATTGTTATTTATCAGTCGTTAAATACAGGCAATGTACCTGTGTCGTAAACACGGTTATACCAATTCGACTCTGGAAGGCGTTTGGAATTTTTTTTAAACCAATGTTCGGTACTCACATTCGATTATGATAATAACAATGTCCACGCCCTCCTAACTGGTAACGGATTGTGACACGTCGCGGATAGAAGCGACATCCCT